CTGACTTCTCAGTACCTTGGTTAAAGTGGTGGACATCTGCCTATAATTTGAATATTGTTTGTCCTGTCAACAATTGTATACAGAGTCGTTAAGGTTCAAGTTGTCCTGGCTGCTTCGTCTCTTGTGCACATATTGATCTTCGTTTTTAAAGTTCCAACACCAACACTGAAACATATTATTGATAAGGATCTTGAAGAAACAGACAGAACCAGTATCCATATCAAAATGCTTTCTTATATCATTCGTTATACGCCATTTTGTTTCCAATGCTAGTACTGCAATTCTTACCTTTTTGCTTCTAGCTAGCTTGACTCTCGTGACCTCGCCGAACTGAGAGAAAAACTTCACCAGACCTCTCTCCACAAATGGCCGAGGTACATGTCCAACATATATAACGCCCTTTTTCGTTTTCTACAGCAAGAAAGCAGAGAAATCTTCCTCAAAATATAACTCTACAACTTTCATCACACTGATCTGTCACCATACTTTGCCCGATGATGCCTGCACTTTCTTCCCCTTCTTAGCCATAGTGATTACTGTCAATGAACACCTAAATCTGTTATGAAACTTGAGCAATTCCTAGTTGCTGACAACACCTTGGTCGGTGCAAAACTGATCTCGAATCTCCAGCTGAAATCACGATCGTTGTTGTTTGGTTGCTTTTCGCTTTCAGATCTCATGCAACCAACACGATAATAATTTTTGCGACCATCAAAAGTCGCGATGCGCGATGCATCGATGTGAAGTCATGAATGACTCATACACTAGTCATGCATAGAGCCATACACGTACACACACGTACGATGACATGCACATTCGTCATGGCAACTCAAGATGGCACTCCAAATGAACAAGATTCCACGATTCCATTGTCCACTAAAAAATCCAAAACGCCACGAAATCTGATGTTCGTAGCTTTGTAGCTACTTGTACATGACATTATTGTAGTATTCTTGACCGGTTTTATTCCTTTCTATTTCTGCCGAGTATCAGCACTTCCGCAGGCCAAAAAACTTAGTTCGTAGAGATATTCACCATGGATATTACTGTTATGAATTCAGATTCAGACTCAGATGCTTCGTCTGTGGATATGGAGGAGGTATGTGATTTTCTCAAGTTTCTATCTTTGTTACGAAATAGAATTCCATTTTATTCTTACCATAATTTTACTGGGGTATATACTACATGTACCAAGAGCACTCTTGATACCACTGAGGATGTATCCCACATACCAAGGGTCCTATCGCAAACTCCCCGGGGGAAAATTAAGCACGATCTGGTGACAATGATAACGAATTTCTACCAACACAATAAAGCTTCATTTGTCATTTCTCCTCTCTTCCCTCTCTACATGTATATTTATCATTTGCCTGCATAGGAATGCACTGTTAACCTGTCTACGGTGACCTCCCAAGTAAAGTAAAGAGTAAAGTAAAGCTCGCACATCCGCTTTACCACCGGCTTACAATTGTGTTGAGAAACACAACCAGCTTAGAGAAGTTTCGCTTGTGTCATGCCTGATTTTACCAGGGTGGAATATGCACCGCCTAACGGCGAGGGTGAGGTGGTAAGTCTCACGACCGATGCCCGACCAGGGTGGGGGGAGGACGAACCTCGTTAGCTGCATCTATGTTACCCTTACTCTAAGTAGTGAGTACCCAGTTGACCGTGGGTGTCGTCGCAGTTCATTGCATGTAAAGTGGTTCACACATGCATCACCGCATTTGTTAACACAGTACACGCTGCGTGCTGCCAGCGCAGATCTCAAACTCGGACCTTGTGATTCATAGGCAAGCCCACAGCCACTGGGCCGAAGTGCTGGTGGACCTCGCAAAGGACCTTAAACATGTGGTCCCTGTGTAGAAGTGGTCTCCTTATCCAGGGAATAAAATCCCTCGTCCCTGGTTGCAGTGGTCCTTTGGAACAGGTGGTCGCCTCAACAGGTTTTACTGTACCAGTGTACCTCAAAGTGGTTGACCGGGGAATCTGCCTTCGGCTGGCTGTAGCTGAAATAGACGGAGGCATGTCGTTTTACGATAATTATTCTAGAAGCAAAAGGAAACTAGATTTTGATTGGATTCCGCTTCTGCTTGACTGGACATGTATTTTGAGAGTTGCGGAGGCTGTGTGTTTGGGTTTCAAGGTGTCTACAATAATGCTGTATGCTTTTATGCGCCTGTTGTTGTCTGCGTTGCGTATGTGCAGTATCAAGCTCTCCTTCAGGCACAAGGTGAAAAGGGCACGAAGACTGTGAAGAAGACCTTCTACAACAATGTGGTGGGTTGCGGATGACGGTGGATCATGCTGGGGATAGAAGTGTAGGAAGATATCCGTTCCCTCTATTTTTTAGAATTCTGTGTTAGCTATCATTATCAGCAGGTATCCGAACTGCTATCAACGTTCTAAACTGTGTACAGTGTGTATATTGCTTATGAATATACACTCAAACGTCTCTTATCCGGACGCCTCAGATACGGGCACGTCTCTCCACCGGGCACCTTCAGCTTGGGTTCCTATGGCAAAATGCTTCGAATTTGGGGATTTGAACTTTTTTTCTTCGTACGCACAAGTGCTTATTTTGTCACTATCAACCAGTGTGATCCACACGTTGTTTTCGATCGATCATTTTTGTATCCCTAACATGTGCAATGGGTGCCAAATAAACTTCTTCAACGAATGATATGATACATAGGAGATGAGTTATCCTGAGATACGGGCAGATCTGAGATACGGGCTGTGCCCGGTCCCAAGGTGCCCGGATAAGAGGCATCCGAGTGTACCTCGAAGTAATTGATATGTTGACGATATGATGGTGTCGGGTAGCCTAGTGGGGATTGAAACATTTCAGAGTGGCTCTTATTTTGGCACGGGGGCCAATTTCAGGAAATAAGAAATACGGCACAGAGTTGCAGCATTGCTGACAAACAGCAGATGGAAAACGGGTGCGTAATAGTAACATGTAGAAGCGTCACTGGAGGGTCCAGGATCTGGTCACGGTTGGTTGGCTGCCAGTGCCTGCCTGCCCATCCTGCATGCACTGGGTGACTTGCGAGAGGTGAGAGCGATGCAAGTCCGATATACCGGTATCTCAAGAGCAGTTTGCCGATCTACTTAGGCAATTGTTTCATCATAAACAATGAAAAATAGAGTTTTCTTGTCAACATAACAGTTATACTCAATCGTTAGGATCGTGCAAGAAACTGACCCAGTTTTGATCATTTGCCCTGGTCCTCCAGATTGCAGCACATGTCTGTCCAAAGGATGATCGCTTATGTCCTTGCAAACCGTGATCCCAATGTTTCGAGGCGGTCGCCCACTGCACAGCCTGCATCTACCTCTGAGTGTGCTGGAGCTTGGTGCCGAACATGGTGGTCGCAATGGTTGCTTCACAGACCCCGGTTGCTAGAGGAGCAATGGGGACGATATTTATAAATCAATACGGCGGTGGGTTAATTATAGGGATGAAGCGGTTCTGGTAAAGAACCGGTTTTGGTGCCGCCAGCTGAAAAGAATCTGTTACCCGTTTAGTCAAATTTCGAACCGAAACTGGAAAAAATCTTGTTCTCTTACACGTAGCTATCTACGCATTCAAGATTTATGAATGTCACGGCCGGTTCGTGCGATCTATGTTTGGCTACAGTGCTACCGAGTATGTAATGCATGCAGTGACTATACTGTGTAACATTACCAGTGAGTCTTCAGGCTGTGTAGTGCGCGCACTGTAAAGCTACAGTCAGTACGTGCACAGGCTGTAGTATAATTTATAATCGATAATTTACATGTTGTTGCAAAATCCTTCGAATGTAATGGCCTGAGTGTAGGCATGTATTTTTCACCTGCTCTCATGCTATAATTCGGTTGCACACAAGTTGATTTGCTCTTGCTTCTTACTCTGTTTGTCTGTACACTTCAGGAGGGCATGCAGGCTAAAATAATGACACTGGCCGAAAGCACTGGGGTGAGTACAATTGCTGTCCGACTGGCTGGCATACTACTGCAGCTGCTGCTGCTGCCATGTAGATTCATCAAGCTTTAACTGTCAATGGTCAATGAAATCTAATCCTCGACCAACCACTGCTTGTTTCCCAGATACTGACTGTGCTGCAAGACTTTTCTATAACAAATATTGGTTTACCGTGGCTTTTGATCAGGGTTTCACTTCCTGGCAGCTGTGCACAAAGAGAGAGAGAGAGAGAGAGAGTGAGAGAGAGAGAGAGAGTGAGTGAGAGAGAGAGGTTTTTTTTATTAAACTATTTTTTTTAAACTTTCCTTGGTCACGGGGCCGGGGGTCAGTTTAATCTTTCTCCTTTTCATTCCCTCAAACTGATGCATATTAGGCCATCATTTTTTTATAGCTATGTTTCGCGTCGTCCGCACGCATACGTTTTGATTTTTTCGGAAAAAAATAAAAAAATCTTACATGCACAGTGAGCGTACGATCGTGCGAGTCATCAGTGTGGACTGGTTGCATACAGCGAAACTGGGATTCAGAAATGGCCTCGAGGCCAGCGTTGGCAAATCGTTTGTTCGGCATCTTGGAGCAATATTCTATGAGCTAACATCAGACAGCCTCAAGCTGAGAGGATGCGTCGTTCCGGAGGTCTTTGCACCGCTGCTGAAGTCTGAGTACAATAATCCAACGAAGCATAGGCACCATGACCAATGGTTGCCTCCTCTGTCCAAAGTGAATATTTACTCATGCTGATAACCCAGATGTTGTGCTTCGATGTACGATTTTTCTTTCGAATGTACACCATGCACGAGCTATTGTGCTATGTACAGTGCATACACCTCTGATGATGAGCCTTTTTTATTATTTTGCCACTTTTTATTTTTTTCCACCTCTCACATATGATTCTGGAAGTTGAACTGACGCGAAACATAGATATAAAAAATGATGGCCTTAGTAAATGTTGCACGTTCTCTTCATAACAGTTACTGTCGTGGACATGGAAATCCAGTCGAATGACCGGGGCCGGCGCACTCAGTGCGTACAGAATGTTGCATGCCATGCACATGTTGGTCCGATGTGACCAGCGCGCTGCAGCACATAAGTGAATGTGTGTACGGTATGCGTACTTACGGCTGCGTGACCGGCGCCCTGGGGCCGCTAGACGTGCGACCGGATTTCCATGTCCGCGACAGTATATTCGCTTGTTCTTTCTGGTGTTCACTATTGTGATGTTAACCCAACTATGGATCATCACAAGAAAACATTCTCGGAAGTCCTTTGTGGACTTGCCTTGCCTTATGGTGTGTTCTAATAATGACTGTGCAGTTGATTCTATTCATCGCTTTGTCAAAATGCAGAGCATGGACCAAAGCATGTCGTGCACTGTTGAGAACGACAGAGACGAAGAATTCGATGCGCACGACGACTTCAAGAGAGAAGAAGCATTGTGAGTTTATGCCTGTGTCTTGATCTCGAGCCTCATGGTGCACGGCAAATCAAGGGGCATGCATGAAGGAGAGAGTGTCAACCAGCCATGCAGCAAGAAAATAAATGAGAGAGAAGGAAACTTACTTGAGAGGGCCTTGTTTTGTTTGTTATTTACTTGCAAGATTGAACAGGCATGGCTGCCTTCCCACTTACTAGAGGCTAACCCCCAGCTCCTACGAAAGGTTTAATTATGATGGGTATTGGATTGTATGAAGCGAAGGAATACAAAATTGGAAATGAACCACCATAATTGCGCATGGGATGGGTGGGATTGAGTGCATTCGAAATATCCGGAAATTTTAGAACTTTTCATTTTTTCTCTCCCTCTGTTCTTGTTGAGCAGCATGCAGCAGGCAAAGGCTGCAGTCAAAGTGGTATTGCCACGATTGGCTGCCGCTGGTGTTTCAATCGAGCGTCCGTCTGACTATTTCGCCGAGATGGTCAAGAGCGATGAACATATGAAGAAGGTATATGCTTCTCTCACTTTCTTTCTCTGAACATATTGATTGTGTGACCTGCTGGGTTTGTCAAACGACGTGGTGAATGAAATTGTTTCCTACCAGGTTTGTCTCATGTATTAGCCAACAGCGAAGTGCACTGGGTCATTGCTCTGTCTGGTGTAAAGTTACTTACATTGTATGAACACAAGTTACATTATGACCCGTCTGCGTTGAACTCCTTCTAGGGTGCAGCGCCGGCGCCCTTTATTGTGTGCACGCGCTTGCATGTTCATAGGAAGGCTAGCAATATTTGCGCTTGCCCCGTGACCAAATGCTCACAGGCTATGCAACAGAGCGACTCCCTCGCCGAGGGCCCAGAGTGCAACATCTTCTGTTAGCTAGTTTCCAGTACTTTGGGGTTCAGACTTCATGAGCACTTATTCCTTGCTTGAGTCCTTTTTTGCTGCATGAATTATTAGAATTTTATGTGAATCTGGTTTGTTCATGTCATGTGTGTTGCTTTTTTATTTGGACTAGATCAAAGCCAAACTTCTCAGTGAGGAGCAATCTTTAGAGCAGTCCGAGAAGGCTCGCAAGCAGCGTGAATTGAAGAAGTTTGGAAAGAAGGTAGGGCCGTGTGCTGGCTTCCACTCTGTGTATGTTTGGTGTGTAATGGTTGCCTGGCACTTGCCTGGGCATATTGCTACTTAAGTACATGTGCTTGGTGATGTTACTATTGTGTACATGCTCGGTGTATGTGCACATGTACATGTTAATGTAAGACTATCAGAATGAGTGCATGTGAAGTATGTAGCTAGCAGCAGCAGCAGCAGCAATGGTGATCCTGGCATGCCTCTACTCAACAGCGCTTCCGTATGTTATCGTGGGCGGTTGCACCCCATGCACTATTTGATCGAAAACATGTAGTGTGTGGAAAGGAACTTTTTCAGTTCCTTTGCTGCTTTATAGCACTGTACGCTCGCTCATAGTGCTGTTGTTTGTATTCTTGTTTGTTTCCCGGTTCAGGTTCAACACGAAGTCTTAGAAAAGCGGAGAAAGGAGAAGCGCGATGCACTCGAATCAGTGAAGAAGATGAAAACACAAAAAATGTCTCGCGACGCCCGTGTAAGTCTTCATGCTGACTTATTTTTGTATGTATGCACACATGCGCACGCGCGCGCGCGCACACACACACACACACACACACACACACACACACACACACACACGCGCATTTGCATATGCATATGCATATGCATATGCACATGTGCGAAGTGTGCATAACATACTGCATATGCATGCTTAGTGCTTAGTACTGCTTACAGTCTTGCAGCTATGCTTTTGTTTCTCCTACAAGTCCTTCCGTTTCCTTGGTATCCCATTTTACAACAACTCATCCCTGTGGCACTTGCAAATCAAACACCTGAAGGTGGCATCGATTGACAGCGAAAGTACAACTAAATCTGGCTTGCCTACTTTCTCTGAACCTCTTGCGTTCTTTTCAGAATGCGAGCTTGGCCATTTTTTTCTTCGCCGACCATTGTGGGTTTTCTCGCAGTAGTCTGGTGACTTTAATTGATTCTTCGTGAAATTCTTTGAAACTTCTAGACGCTTTTCATGGTTTCCCCTGACGATCAAGCTGATTTCGCGAACACGCTTCCACTTTGAGCAGTGGTGAGTTTGCTGAGAGCATCCACCTATTCGAATATGTACGTGTATGCACACCAAGAAAGAAGGTGATGATGCCCCTTCCATTACTTGGTGCTCCTTGCCTTTCTCCTCGGGGGGGGGGGGGGGAAAGCTCTGCAGCGTACAGACCAGCCACCTGGATACTTGTTTTTTTTTCTCTGAAGGGCAACACTGTACTAAAGGAGCTATTCTAAAATGTTTATAGTAAGAGTCCTCTCAAGCAGTGCCAGCGCGAAACAGGCAAACGCTTGAAGCACGAGCTTAACAAGGCCACCCTTGCCAGGGACTACGAACGATGGTTATGTGTGCTTTATGTGTAATGAGGTACCATGATAATATGTAGTTTCTTCCCGGGACCTGTGCTGTAGCTGAGGTTGCGCTATGTGCGCCACTGTGCCTGTAACAGGGATTTCCTCACTTTGCCAAGTACTGCAGAACGGGCAGAGCGTAAGACGATCTTTCGCGACCAAACGTGGAAGCTGGACTGGTCTACAAGTCACAGCTCCCATTTTTCCTGACATTGTATAAAGGGACCGTCAAGGTCGAAGCATAGAATTATCACTTTCGGAAGAAAAAAAACACACTGAAACACTTCGGCACATCCTACGCTTCAAAATCTGCTTGAAGAAACACGGAGTACAAACTTTTGAAACCTAGAAGACGATGGTGTACAGCAGCTCATCACGATGACGGTGAATGAACGAACTACAAAACTTTGAAGTATTTGAAGTATTGTGAAATCATGCACACACCAGTACAGTGTGTACATTGTATGTGGGGCGTTTCTCAAGAAAAGGGCCACAGTCCATGCTGCCGGTCTGACCGATTTTCATGATTTAGCCTGTGATTCACGTAAAAAAATGGCAGTTGGTACCACCTGAAACATGCATCGCTGCACTTTGGAGGTTGGTTTACGCCACAACAATGGCCACTGGTGACCTTGCATTGTCAGCAGAAATTTTCTGAATTCATTTTTTCCGTCCGTGTATTGTTTATTGCTGCAGGATGCAAAGTTTGGATTCGGCAAGCGAGATGCAGGGAAAAAGGGTGGCGGCCGAGGTGCAGGAAGAGGTGGCGGCCGAGGTGCTGGAAGAGGTGGCGGACGAGGTGCAGGAAGGGGCGGTGGGAGTGCCGGAAGAGGGAAAGGAAGGCCGCAGAAGAAGAGACCTGGCAAACGTAAGTTTAAAGAACTGTGATTCACTATTGAAGCGGCGTGCCCGTTTTCATTCTCCCTTTTCTGCAGGTGTAGCTCCTAACCAACTCATTTCTTGTGTTGTGCATTTACGTCATGTACATGTAGCGATGACTCTACTTCGAAGTAGATACATGGCTTGATGTAAGCCACGTGACATGGCTCATGGGCAGCCATGCCTGCAAGGTCATCGGCATATCGAGTGTCCCAGTAACCACTGGTACCTAAATAGCTTGAGAAAGGCTCAAATGCATGCTTTAGTATATACTACTACATTGTAGTAGATGTTTGCGTGAAGAGTCCTGATGCGCTGCTCTCATTCCGTACTGTGCCTGCATCACCCACCTCATTGAGCACTCCAGGTTTTGTGCGATTCGTTTGAGGTCCTGAGTTTAGGAGCATGCACTTGTGTTCTGTGTGAAAATCTAAGCCCATCATAAAGCCTGATTCATCTTTCGTTTTGCGTACGGGAAAAGTGTTGCAATCAGAGAGCAGTAAAATACCAGTATTTTGCTACTCCCTGGTTGTAGTGCATGTCGCGGTGAAGCAGTGGACTTGAGCTCAATCTGTTCAGGCCACCGCGTGACCCTCGTACGAAGCTTTTCCCATTCGCGAAATGAAGTGTGATGCTCCCCGCCGCAGTGATGATCAGGCAGTTGGCATATCAGTACGAGCGACTGTACCGTTGTACACTGATTTACTGTGTTGTGCAACTGTGGGTATTCGAACCGTACAAATAACTTCGGTGTGGTTTGCTTCTACTTTACTTCTTCTTCTTGTTGTTGCGCAGGGTGATACCTCATGAGCTCGATGAACATCTCTCTTGGCCGGTTTTGCACTGCTTCTCCGACCTATCTACTCGATACTCTAATGACCAAGAATATTGGAATTGTTATGTATGCCAATATTTTAGTCAACACTCCATGCTCCTTAGATGCTGCCCTTTCTATTCTACAACATGCCTTGCCACTGAACATTGGTCTGTTCGTGCTAGCGTGTGTGCTAGCGTGTGTGTTTGGGCTACTCAAACAGCAATTCATCGCTCACCTTGATGCTTACAAAGCCTTTGCTTTAATGTTATGTAGTTTTTAATTCTACGCAATCGCTGTGTACGTCGAGTGGTCGCTGGAGCAGATTTGATTGAGTTATAGTTTGTGGAAATCTGTGCTGATACCCTCCGAGGCATGTGCAGGTGGCACATCTACGCGAAGAAGAGTAGACAGTGTGTCGTTCTATTTGTTCTCGTCTCGTGACTCTGTCGGTAGTTGGGCTTCGTAACAACCGACTAGGGCATGCAACATGCAAACAAGGGAGCATGTGGGCAAGTAATGGTTTGTAACTGGTGTTGTCCAGGGAGTCGTACTCGTACCCAAACCTTTAAGGGTACGACTCCCTGATGCTGTCACATGCCAGTGTGGCCGGTTGTTATGAAAATGAACCCCCGGCCGGCGGCCAGCCGACCCATGATCTGTCGGTTTGTGCTGGTTGTGTTGAATCATACATACTTGAAATAGGAACTTTACAGAACGGTTGCGACTTCAGTAGTGAAGTTGATTGTTCCAACGAGGAACACACACTTCCTGCCGAACTTGACACTTGACTGACTCACAACGCGACTGCCATCCGGAGCACGCCGCACCTTCCACTCGACAAACCTGCAAGAAAACGCCACTCCCTGCTCAATACACTCATTACACAGTGTCACCCCTCATCAGTTCAACGACAGTTGAGCTTGAGTTGGGCTGAGGAAGATGTACATGTGTGCGTGCCTGAAAAGCACCACATAATAAAAATATTATGTGACATATATTTTTATGCTCTCCGCTCCATCGTGCATCCAGTCCAGGCAAGAGTACATGAAAACGGTTTTCATGTACTCTTGGTCCAGGCAAGAAAACCCCCCCCGGCCCCCCCCCCCCCCCCCCCCGGGTTTTCATGTACTCTTGGTCCAGGCCAAACCATCACCATGATCACGCTTCGTTTCCAACGCAACAAACACCTGGTGAGACCAAGAGTACATGAAAACCGGGTTTTTTTCATGTACATGTATACAGTACTCTTGCCAGTCTTGGTGAGACTTGTCTTGTTAGTGACGTCATGATACATGAGTTTAAAAAAAAAAAATTCTTTCTTTGTTCAGCAAAAAGAGTGATGGCGGGAAAATCAAGCACACATACTGCAATATCACCATCACACACACATGTACACAATCTTCTGATCATTTCAGTCTCTTGTGAGAACTGAGAGTTGGTTGCTCTCAGACTCAGAGCTTACAGTTGCACTACATTTTTTTATTGTTCCGTTCCTCTACCCAAATACCTGTCTTTCCAACGAAGAACAACAGCCTCGATCATCGCTGAAATAGTGGCATAAAGAAGTTACGAACTCTTACTTGCATACTATGAGTGATCGCATTGCTGAAAATTCTCTGACCGAATACGATATTCATTCTTACATTATCAGTGTAGGTTTCTGGAGATAGTTCTAATCCACCTCAAGTCTCAAGTCAGTTGGAAATGTCTGATGATAATGGATCTGATTACGACGTTCCGGAGCTTCCGCCCATGTTGCCTGAGTTGGATGACTTGCCACCGTTGACAAGCCTCAATCCGTCGACGTTCAGTGCCAGCCAAGCAATCGGTGATGGAAGTGCTAATGCTGCAGGAAATGCTGACGGCATGGGAGACGGTGCTGATGGTGCCGCTGCCCCTGATGGCGCGACTCCTGCCAAGCCCAAGAAGATCCGAAAACCTGTGCCCAAGCTCGATGCAACCAGGTAGGCCTTCTGAATAATTATACAGATGCAGGTACATGTAGAACATTGCAGTACGCATGGAAAGGGGAGGTATGGTACTAGTGCAACATTCAAGTAATAATAATTATTACTTGAATTGCGATCAACAGAAAGAGCTGAACCGACATTTCACAAAGGCTTTTATTGTATTCAAAAAACGGGTGGATACGAAGGCAGTGAAGAACATGGAAGAAAGAAAAAATGTGATATGGAGAAAATGATGAACAAAAAATCGTACTTCTAACTAGTTTTCGCACAACACTCCTCAGGAAGCTACGTTGTACTAATGAAAAACAATCCAGAAAGATACTAATAAAGAGAAATGGAGTGAGAAGAAACAACACCTATGAAAATGATAATCCTAGCACTAAGGTAATAGCAGGAAAAACTCTGTTATTACCTCAGTGCTAGGATTATCATTTTCATAGGTGTTGTTTCTTCTCACTCCATTTCTCTTTATTAGTATCTTTCTGGATTGTTTTTCATTAGTACAACGTAGCTTCCTGAGGAGTGTTGTGCGAAAACTAGTTCGAAGTACGATTTTTTGTTCATCATTTTCTCCATATCACATTTTTTCCTTCTTCCATGTTCTTCACTGCCTTCGTATCCACCCGTTTTTTGAATACAATAAAAGCCTTTGTGAAATGTCGGTTCAGCTCGTTCTGTTGATCGCAATTCTAAAACTGTTGTCGCCTCGACGCCTATTTACATATTACTTGAATGTTAGTAATATGATCTCGTGCAGGGTAGAGTATCGGGATTCTTACCATGTACAAGTACAGTCTGTATCGGCTATAGAGTGACCGGATATAAGAATATATCGGCTACAGTGATATTGGTGCGAAATATCAAAAGCAAAACGATTTTTATCCAGTACAAATATCACTATAACCAATATTATCGGATGTAATGATATATCGGATAGTATGATGGCAACAAAGAATCAAAACATGCGTAACACACTATATTATTATCGGCTATAGTGATAACTTTAAAATGCATGTACCAATAATATCAAAGACCCTATTTTTTTTTACTTTCTTCACGTTGCTTATTTTTATAGTGATACATGTACATGTACATAACAGAATTTTGGAAATGCGGGCACTGTCAACTACATGTATGTAGCATGCTCATTTGTCAAAACGCCATGCTAGAAGTATTTCCTTGCCTTTCATGTGTCGATCGAAAAAAAGAAATCGATCGTATCGCATATAGTGATGCATCGGTTATAGTGATAAAATCACGGAAATCAAAAGGGTACGCTATAGCCGATACAGACTGTATGCAGATAGCGGAGCGTTACAGCTTCCCGTACACATGGGGAAGAGTGAGGGGGGGGGGGGGGGAGGGCAATCACCCAGGGTGTCAAATTGCTGCCGTACTCAGCGAAACGATACGACACATGTACAATGATAACTATATATTTGTTTTGTGCTGTACCTTGATTCTCAGGTTATGCAGTAAAGAGCGCGGCTTGCCACATCTAGTACAGGACTTCAAAACTATTCGCTTCAAGGGTAGAGGGCATGAGGTGAGGCTACTGCTAGTGCCCATAAGAGATTACTTCAGATTAGGTTAACATACTCCATATCCGCTTCATGAACTTTGCGGACAGACATGCTAGTGATGCCCATCAGAGATTACTTTACCTTACTGTCTTTTCATTTGCATGCATGTGCAGCAGCAGCAGTAGTAGATTCTTCTGCTCTGTTGATCCTGTGCGTACAGATACATCTACTTGGCAGGGTGGAGTTCGGGGCACTAGTATTAAAAACACAGGACAGTAAAACTCAGATAAGATGAACCCCCTCTCTGCACAAGAAAAAAAACATTTGTCTAATCTGAGGTCCGTCTAAAATCATGACAAAATCATTCAATAGATCAGTGACTAGGCAGCTCCACCAGTCTGTTTGGAAGAAGAGAAAAGTCAAGGTCCAGTGAAACTCTTTGCTAAAATTCTGTTTCTGTTCATTGTTGTATGTTCCTTACATCAGGCGAGTGACATTAGACTGTTGATGCGTCGCTATGAACACTGGGCGCATCGTCTCTTCCCAAAGTACCCCCTAAGGACTTCAACTGAAATCATTGAGCTGTCCCTGGCGTCGAAGAGAGAAGTCAAGGTCAGTTCGATGTGCTTTGTTCGTGAATGAACAGCGTGTGTCTCGAGCCTGTGACTATTCTTATGTTTTCATAACATGTGTACAGTCAGGAGAGATAAATAGAGGGTTTGCAATGGACACCTTGCATGCAGAGGTAATTGGATGGCAAACTCAATGAATACTTCGAAGTACATACTGTGCCCTGATGAGCCTCAATGCTATTTCTTCAGTTTTGTGGATGCTCTCTGTGTGTCTGTCTTTCTCTCTGTGTGTCTGTCTCTCTCTCTCTCTCTCTCTCTCTCTCTCTCTCTCTCTCTCTCTCTCTCTCTCTCTCTCTCTCTCTCTCTCTCTCTCTCTCTCTCTCTCTCTCTCCTCTCCCTCATAACTTACATGCTCACACTATGTATCTAACTCTTGTTTTCATGACAACAGGTATGTATGGCACAGCTGCGTAGAGGTGACGATGGTGACGATGCACTTGATGTAGATGTTCTGGAGCCAGAGCCGGTGCGGCCCGTGCTGCCTCTTCTCTAGTGAGTATTGGCTCGTTGGCTTACACTCTCCCATCAGCCATACCATGTGCTACCGTCTCCCGTGGAAAGGCCTGCGCATGCCGAGACTAGCCTCTGCTGACTTGATGTCTTACTGTGCCTTTGCAGTAGCAACATACAGGGTTGATGTTGCTCCGCTCTGGCTTGGCATCTGTATTGCGTTATGCCCCAGGCTCCAATTTGCTTTGTTTCTGACACAGTCACGATGTCAGTCATAGCGCGCATGTACTTGTTTCATCTCGTATATACTTGTTGTACATTGTACTTGTAACTGGCCTATTTGACGTTGATTGCGGGCAATCAACTAAACTAGCTTGCTTCATAATTATTAGATTTCTTTTTAACGAAGCACGTTCCCATCTTATCTCTTTCCGTTTGACATCTCATTGCTTGTTTTATTAAATACGATGGTAGCGGTATGAGATCCACCGGCTTCATGCCTCGTCACCTTTAGGCTTTGTTTGCTTGTGACCTGTGAATTGACTTGTGTCTGAAGCTGCTGCTCATACTTTCCGAGTTTTCTCCTAAACAAACAAAAATCATACAACGCAGCTTGAATATAATGGTGATATGTACCATTGCCTTTTCAATCAATTCCATTAATGAAGACGTTATTGTGTAGAAAATCAGCTCTTTCACAGGGAGTCGTCAGATATTCGACTACTTTACCATGACAAATGCTAGCTACACGTACCCTGTAGTACTGTGTAGTAGCTGTACAGCCTTGCTACACGTACCCTGTAGTACTGTGTAGTAGCTGTACAGCCTTGCTACACGTACCCTGTAGTACTGTGCTGTCCCCGGGGAAAATTGCAATTCCGCGGCCGCGTTTTTTTCCGCGTTTTTTGCGATTTTTTAAAAGACCGCGTTTTCCGCGATTTTCCCGCGTTTTTTGAACTTTTTTGTTGCACTACACGTACACACAGTGCACTGTTCGGTCAGCAACGTCTCATCGTGGCGGCTTTTTACTCAAATATGACGAGTGCTTACACCAGAGACTTGTAACCGATTGATTTCACTACATACTCACTGAAAATTGCCGCACATCAATATTATTCACCGCATATTTACCGCAAATTATGCCATATTATGCCGCGTTTTTCCCCGCGTTTTTTGCGATTTTTTTCCGCAATTTTCCCCGGGGACAGACTGTGTAGTAGCTGTGTAGTAGCTGTACATGTACAGCCTTGCTACCTTGTTCACAGTCACCACAGGCACTGGCTTCTCTCAAGCATTTAGCTTGGAGTTGGAGTCCTGGACGGAACCCGGGCATACTAAGTACAGTCATGTTCCTGTGGGCTCATCGAAGACACATAAATCTTGACGTGGTGCGGGGGGGGGGGGGGGGCAACAGTACAATACTTATACAATGGACCATGGCCTGGGATCCCCCGGGAGTGGACTCTTGGGGAGTCTTGCTTCAGCCTCAGCGGTTTAGTACCTTTACCATGGTTTCCGATATATTCGGCATGTCACGTTGTGTCAGGTTCGCAAGGTGTGCAAGCAGAAACTGCAAAGGGGAAGCCAAGTACAAGTCAAGTGCATTCTTGCTTTGCCCTTGCCCTTGCAAGCTTGGCTTGGGCCTTGGCATTCGATATAATAGAGAGGTTCCGGGGTACGATTTTCCGTGCCAAAATCCGTATGGGCGCTACGGATTTTTTCCAGGCGTGCTCCATACGATTTTTCGGCACGGAGAATCCGTGTGGACTGGCTTTCACACGAACCATGTTTCGTATGGAGATTTTGCGTCATCGGGCGCAGAAAGATTTTTCGCGTACAAATTTGGCACGAGAAACATCGATTTTCCGCGGGAAGTTTTGATTTCGGTACAAATTTTCAAAATAAAAAGGCATAGCGCGGGAATGTGACGTGTTTGCGATCGTAACCTAGGCAATGACGGCAAACACATAAGTTCTGTACCCCGGAACATTTCACTGCTCGAAAACGACGTATAAAAAATCCGTAGCGCCTCTACGGATTTTGGCACGAAAAATCGTACTCCGGAACCTCCCTATTGATTCGCTTTGTGTGCTTTTCCTGATTTTACCCTGATGACGTAGCATGCAGGCGCGCACGTGACAAAACTGAGGAAGCTCGACTGAAGTCTGAATATCAAAAGAGTCTGGTGCTGTGGTTGGTGGCATGTGGCTTTGTGGGATCGACGAAATTTGAGTTTTCGTCTTTCCTGTTTTGACATTTCTTCCAGTAGATATCGGTCTCTCTCTATCTAAGTGAAGGGCCTAGTTGCCGAGTACCGGTCTAGGAGTGTGAGCTGTGTCACAAGAGCAGGCTCGCAATAGTCACTGTCTTCATTCCCCTTTCGCACTTTGTGGTCAATTGTTTGTTAGCCATCCTGAATTTAGGAGGCGTCTGTCGCGTGTAACTTGGGAGGAGGTCGTGCAGCCAGCCCTGAGCGTGCTTTGTGTTGGACGAAACGTCGCAGCGGAGCGTTGAGGGACCAGGCTCGTGGCCACAAGTATCAACACCGGGCTGCTACAACAGAAGGTAAGAAGTGGAGAAAGCAGTTACTTGACAATGACTGTGGATTTCGCTTGCAACCTTTTCTGTATACAATAGTTCCAATACAGCACTCTTGGTCACTGGCATACATAATGCATGCATGAATACCTGGGTTTATCACTCCCTTAGTATTGACTCCCATAGGTTTTTGCTACACCTAAGCATTCAAATATTCCTGAATATTTCACTCCTTAGGTCCTACAGTCTGTTTCAAAAAGATTTGCAATCCTGGTGATCGCCCAGGGAGTTTGCCGTCTTACCGTATGAGCGCTCGAGCGCTGCCTGGAAAAACTCACTGTGAACTCGAAGAAATATTCCGCGCGAAAGCATGAAAAATGACAACTCACTCACGTCGGTACATGTACGTCTGGTTTACAACAGACGAGTTCTTCCTCGTATTGATATGGAGTCAGAGAGGACATGTCGAAAGTGTGGTAAATGTTGACGAGCGGGATGGGTCCCAATTCGTTTTGTGCTCAAATAGTTTCTTTGAGCTGCGATGCAATTTACTCTCACCATGTGACGAAAACGACATTGACACAGACTCATTCCCAAGGCCATGACTTGGCAAAGCTATCTGTGTTACTTCGACAGCATCTTGAGAAAAGCAGGCGCCTGTGAAAGCTGATAGAAGACGGCGTTGACTCCTAAATTCAAATAAATTGGCGATCTTGAAATACTACTTCAAAAAAAGAAGTAAAATAATTCTCAAAAAGAAATCGATCGACCGATGTGCTGGTGTATTCAACAACACGTAGCTACAGCGCAATGACTTCCGTGTTCACTCACACTATTTCAGTGCTGTGGGTGTGTTCAGAATCACATGGCGTGAGCCAGTCAAGTGTCAGTCAGTTCGGCAGGAAACGCAAGCTCCAACAACAAGTCGTTTGGCGCAGCCACCTTCTTTTATTTGTCTTGTAGATCACCAAAACAATGAAAAAAGTTTGACTTGAAGATAGTTTGGGATTTGAACTCACAACTTCATGGTCAGCAGACAGTATTCATAACCACAAGGCCAAAAAGGAAAGGATAAATCGTGGGTTTTGATTAAAAAAATCGATACTGGCTTCCAGGGGAAATTGTAAACCATGGGAAAAGGCCGGAAACCTGGCCGAAATTCTAACTCCTTAACGGCTAGTCTAATTGTTCCGAAACCTTCACAGAACAACTTGCCGTGTCCTAACAAGCCATTCTCTTTACTTTGTTGTCCAAATTTCCCTTATCTTCATACTTTTACCAAAACCTGATTGTAAATCTTTTTGAAATGGACTGTAGGGCTATATTGACTGCTTATATTTGACTCCTGTTTTAGGAATCGAACACAGGCTTTGGCTAGTCGTGATAAATCATACTGACTTCGTACTTGGTCAGTATAGAAAATAAAATCTCGTAAAGACCTCGGCTTCGCCTCAGTCTTTTACTCGGCTTTTATTTCCTATATTGACCTCATGGTGGCTCATACTTAGTCAATATTAAATGCATACTGACACATGCCACTAAAAGTAAAACTCTATCAGTCTACAATGGTCTATGTTTACTAACTTCACTCTTACCTTGTATGTGTGCACCAAGGCATCATAGGCATGGCATCCAATGCACATGTACCTATATTACAGTCATGACAAGCCGGGTTACACCAGCAGGACACGGGTCAACTGGTGCTCCAAGCACAATACATGGACCTGGTGCTGTGTATCACTGTTACCACACTGAGGCAGGGAAGCATACTTGGTTTTTTGGGGGGGGGGGGGGGGGGGGGGCGTTCAGTTTCTGCAAATGTGTTGGTTCAGCGTTCAGTTCTAAACGCCATAGAGCAGAGTGGTGAGCACGATGGCTGTATACACTAGTTTACCCTCGGTATGGAGAGCCCATAGACACGGTGTCTATGGGCTTCTGCAAGCGACAAAAACATATGATGCCTTAGCCAGCTGCATTGCTACTGTATCATCGATGGAACCACAGAGGGAGGTGAAGCTGGCCACTTGCTCCATCTCCCCGTCAAATTCCAGATGTATGACACACTGAGCAGTATCATCCCACGCGGTCATTGCCTTTTGTGGTCATGTTCACACTCAAGTCCCAGCCCACATTGCAGCTGAAAACTCCCTCACTGTGATGTTAGGTATTGTTAACATCACACCACAACAGTCCATGTAGAGCTGCACACAAACACACACGTGCGCACATGCACGCGTGCACGCACACACACACACACACACACACACACGTACAATGTACATACCCACACAACTGGGAAAGGTATAGCATCTCTTGCACCCTTGAAATCATCACAGTCTTGCTTAGGGACCATCGCAAAAGTTCGCAGAAGCCCCTGAAACGAAGAGCATACGTTGGGGGGGGGGGGGGGGGGGGGGAGGGAGTCGGTGCGAAAATCGCAAACCGGGCTTCAATTCAAAAAAGTATTGACGACATAATTATAGTAGCTGTAGGATTAGCAATTTAGCATCCCATCACAGCCGGCGTAGATCGCTTGTCAGGACGCGTAGTCGCATGCAGCTGCGCGTGTCGCGTAGCTGGCTGCCTGTACACTGTGTGTAGTCTAGTACCAAGAGTCCAAACCGCGTGGTTTATGGACTCTTGCTAGTACTAGTACTAGCAGGGGTTCATAGGGTTTATGAACCCCTGCTAGTACTAGTACCGGTAGTAGTGTAGAGATTAGAGTTACTCGTACGCTTATTATGTGTGAGCATCCAAGTGAAAAAATGAAGCCCATATTGTGACTGTCGTTTCGTTTGAGGGGGGAGGGAGGGGGTCAGGCCCGAAACTCACGGTCTTCGTTTCGGGGGCTTCTGCGAACTTTTGCGATGGTCCCTTAGTGTGGGCCGCAGTGAACAATAGTACATGTAATGTATCTATGTAGTATGTACTGAGTTCCAGTTGTCTTGTTCTCCTGCCCTTTTTGCCTGCTATACAGTAACACAATACTACAGCGAAAACATGGCCGCAGGACGTCAACGACGACCCTGCAACTGCAGCAAGTCAATGTGCTTGAAGCTGTGAGTCGGGCGCACTAGTACTTGTAGTCCAAAGCCCTGGCTGAACTCAACAGGATGCATTTTGCAACAGGCACACCCGATTACAGAACCTAGCTGTTTTGCGCTCTCAGTCTGTACCAGACGTAAACCATGACAATGTTGGTGGTGGTTTAGCTGCTCTTCACCGTGCCCATACCAGGGGCTCCTTGAAAAGAAGTTCTGGCTGAGCATGTTCTCATTGTCACAGTTGCAGTGCTGCCAAACCGTCCGATTTTTGAAGGCTCTTCCGAAAACTGGTCCGAAAAAGGAAACGTCCGAAAAGCAGCCAAAAAATGTCAGGGATCAGTGCTTTCCTATGCAGAAGTCATGTATTTTCACTTTTCAGGGCAACTAGTACATGTACATGTAAAAAGGTTAGCGCTTGGCCGGCTGTGGAAGTGCAAAGTAACATGCCTGGATGGCATGTACATGTACACTAGTGCACTGTACAGTGTGTGACCACACTCATACATTACAAAATTCATGACAACTTCGAGGGTGCCATGTCGGTTACCATGGTAACGGAGCGAATTTTCATGGAATTTTGGGCGATATTTTGAATTTTCGGGAAAAATTGCTGAGGAGAAAAATTCGCACCATGTGGCCAGCCTTGGCGGTGAAGGGTGTCCAGTTGTGGGTGAAAATTATTTGGCAGCACTGCAGTTGTTGCTGACCGGAATTGTTTGGAATTGTTTGCAATGCAGCTACTGTGAGTGCTTTGCACATGGAGAGTTCTGCGTCAACTGCAAGTGTCAGAACTGTCACAATAACTTGGAGCATGAAACCGAGCGCCGAGAAGCAATACAGGTACAGGTGCTGCACAACACAGACCGGGGGGGGGGGGGGGATAACTCTTATGGCTGTGTGTTGTGTTCACACGAACTCTCAGTCTGCTGTCTATTTTGCACTGCTGTGTGCTTCACACTTGCCCTGGTGTATACTTTCACGTCATCCTTTGTTTGCCATGTCCTGCTAAGGTACCCCTCAACATAAACTGTACTTTTAAAGAGTCATCACTCATTCCTTTGGGTTTTTTCTTAGTTTCTTCCATTCATGAGGTCAATCAATTTAAATTCGGTTCATAGCTACCTAATGCAACAAACTCGCCTCCTGTTCTCCATCAATTTTCATAGTTTTCTAAGCAGACACTTTCTTCATAGTTTTCTGTTAGCAACACCCATTTTCTTATTAGAATCCTGCCTATGTGCAGTGCAGCCTCAACTTGAATAATATGCCGTTGAATCCAATGACATGCATGCCCTTGTGACGTCTCTTTGTTTCCCTTGACCAGGCATGTCTGGATCGCAATCCCTATGCGTTCCACCCTAAAATCAGCTCTGGAAGCAGTGGCAAACAGGAGCATCATGTAAAAGGTATGCAACCCCGTGAATGTGCTTGCTGAGCACACTAGCACCCATGCCGGGTTATGGAGCTTTTGTGTGACCTCTCTGAAATCAAAGCCACAGTTCTTCTTGTCTATAGCCAGCTGTCACGACGATAACCGCTTGATTGGGGTTTTCTGATGTTTTTTGTGCTGGATTTTGCAGGCTGTCACTGCCGAAGGTCAAGCTGTCTGAAAAACTACTGCGAATGCTTTGAGGTGAATTAGATTCATTGAACTGAAATTATTGTCTTCATTGGTGTTTCTGTTCTATCAAGCTACGATCAGTTTACAAGAGTGGCATCTGGCCGGCATGCTGATGATGTGTACTTCTTTACACTGTGTACATGTACATGTATTGGTAGGATTCGTCAAGTTCTGAATGGTTGTACCTGTAGCAGTGCTGTTGTTGCTGTCTTGCCTGCAGTGCCACTAAACTGTTAGCAATGATCATGCAAGCTGCAGCTGAATGCATGCATTTTCTCGTTGTCTATGTGTACTTCCAGGCGGGAATACCGTGCTCGCAGCTCTGCAAGTGTTTACAGTGTAAAAACTATGAGAACAGTCCTGACCGGCAAGCACTGATGGACTTCACGTTAGGTGCGTGCCGCCAGCAGGCTAATGTCCAAAGTGCATTTTCTACGCACAGATGTCCAGCCCGTCTCATGCCATCTTATTATCCGTAACAGGCATGCAAATGGGATCGTTCCGAGTGTCGTGTTGAGCTACAAGGGTAACTCTCTTGTCCTGTCCTTCCTTTGGGCATTGCAGACACAGATACTGGCGGCTAATTGCAGTGGATACCGGTAGATTGCGGGGATGCCGGTAGCTCTTCACCTACCCACTGTATGTGTGTCTGTGTGTGTGTGGAGTGCTTTGGGCCACTATTGACCACACATAACAGCCATTTCTATTTCGGGAACAAACAACCTCATTCTCAATTGTGCGTCATGATTTCGTAGCTACATATACTCATGATGTGCGACTGAAGGCAACGCCCCTGGGCGAATGGTTATATGTGTCTTTCATGCCTTCTGCACATGGCGTGTACACGGTATGCACACTGTGTTCACATTGTATTTGTATTGTATGCACACTGTCTTTGCACTACTATACCCGTCTTGCCTGCTCTGCCTGTCTACAGCGAGCGGCCAATCGAAACCGCCCAGCGGCCTTGTGTCTCCTATAACAACCAGCTCCGCAACGATGTCTTCCAAGCCTGGTTCAATGCCACCTCCACCTCCCATTGTCACAATGTTTCCACCTCCTCCACCCAGTCCTCAACAGCAAGTTGATAGCACTTTGAGGTCCATGGAATTTTTTATTTCTTAAGCTCAGCCAACACTTGACATCCCTACTCAGAGGCATGCTCAGCACCCTTGACAAGGGCAGGGGAAGGGGTGAGGGGGAGGGGGGGGGGGCACAGCCGGTACTCTTAGGGGGCGTTCGAATGATCACTTTTTGACTTTTCCAAGTATAAGTCGTACCTACTATTTACACTGAACTTCAAGGGCTTCTTAAGGAAAGAAGGGAGGTGTGACTTACACTCGTTGCGAGCCTTCCTACTTTATGCGTGAATATAGTATTGGCACTAGTGTTGAAGCGATCTCACCGGATACTCGTTAGCTCGCTCGCCAGAAACTCGGCTCGTTTGTGCGGCCAGCTCGTTTGCACTAACGAACACCGTACACCGTACTCCGTACACATGGTTGTACATGTCGACCGGGGAGTCGTAAACTAATTTACGACTCCCTGGTCGATCGAGAGTCCAGTCCCGCGCAAAGTGAAAATCACTCGCAGTTACAGGTGACTGTATGCCTGCACGACACTTGAGTTGTTTCAGTTGTCGTTGCAGCTTTGGTGGACTCTACTGATGTCTTGTTCCGCATCTGCTGACCTGTCGCAGGATATGCTTCGGTCACCTCTCCATTCGAGTGAAAGTTACGCTCAGTCGTTTGGAAGTTTTCTCCCGCGATGCAGCGAAGACCAGGGCTACTTGCAATCTTTGCAAAACGGTCTATTCTTACAAAGGCTAATCGACGACGGCGCTGAAAAGACATCTCGACACCAAACAGCAGTCCGAAGTGAAGCAGCAGCAACCCCAAATGCCGGCGGTGATAATTGAACCAGCTGAAAAAAATCGAACTAATACTTAGAAAAAAAATTATTCAAAAAAATAATCATATTTGCCACATCAATGAAACTCGTTAGCTCGCTCGATAGCTTGCTCGTTAGTGGAACTGATCGCTCGTTTGTTATAGATACGCTCGTTTCCACACTAATTGGCACAGTATAAATCAGACCTGAAAATGGGGTGCGACCTATCATCGAGTGCGCCTTATAATTGGGGAAATACCGTCTCCAGCAGGCTGCTAGCATGCTCCGTTCTTCTTGCGGTAAACATGGGCTGTTATATCATCATTGATCAATCCTCGGTGTCACTGTGAACATGCAGCTGTGTGGTTTCCTAGGTAACTATATTCATTTTCCTTGTCTCTGACTTGATCCAGGCCGCCGATTTCACCGCATTTCCATGACGACGTAGCAGCTGCGGCATGTCAGTGTCTTCTGCAACGAGCAGAGCTTGTTGAGCAACAGGTAATGATGTAATTATTGCAGTACCTTTTCTTGGGAGGAAATTCTCTGTGTATTTGTTGGCAATACAGTAGAGTCTGAGTGCCGATTATCCGAACGCCTCGGGCGCAGGCTGTCTCCAGGAGGTTCAGATCAGAAGAATGGTGGGATAAGGGAGCAATCACACGTCTATCTAAAACATGCATATTCCCGCATGTTTTCATTCTCTTTGGCAGGACAACAGGAACTAGATGCACTCCAGCTCCTAAAAATGACACTATCGTTATTCATTTTGGCTCCAACCTGTTGTAATACATCTTGTGCTTCGCTCATGTGGTGCTCCAATTTGGGAAAATCAGCAAAACCTTCGAAAAAGCTGTTAATTTTTTTAATTTTCTAGCCCAACCAGGCGATCCGGATAGGTGACATCCAGATAATCGACCTTCTTCAGTACTTATGTACCCTGACCCCGCTTTTGAAAGTCCCTACTTGTGAAAGTCCCTACTTGTGCTGCTACAGTCGAACCATTATTGCTGTTTAGGGTCCAAAGTTGGATAAACGTGCAGCTGAGATTAGCAAAATCACCATGTAGATGCACGATTCCTTTTCCTCAATCATCGAACCCTGTCCGACTTCTGATTCCGCTACTGTTTCCATGGTGTATGTGTGTGTGTGTGTGTGTGTGTGTGTGTGTGTGTGTGTGTGTGTGTGTGTGTGTGTGTGTGTGTGTGTGTGTGTGCGTGTGTGTGCATGTGCGTGTGTGTACCGGTGCAGGCAAGCGGTGGCAATGCGGCCAGCCAGGATGCACTGGAGCAGGCAGTGCTGGAAGAGGCGCACCTATGCCTGCAGGCCATCGCCATGCGCCATGCACAACCCTTGCCGCAATAGCACACCATTCTCTTCTTGATGATCATATTCTGGGTATGCGTGGCATCCTAAATGGCTGCAGAATTGAGCTTGGTGGAATGCCGTCTTCAACGAACATGGCATATCAGTGATCTCACATTGCCCGGCTTTGCACAATGGTGCATCACATCCAGGTTGCGGACGAGCTGGGAATCAATGGCGATGGGCACCTGATCGCCGGCCGAAGCCACTGTTGGAAAAAAAGGATTTACAAGCATGTTGCTATGCTGTCGCGGCGTGCACCCATGCATGCATGGGTGCATCTAGGTTTGTGTCACTTGTTGAACTCTGTTTCAAACGTCATCTCCTCTCAGCATGACGGACTCTGTGATTCCACTTAAAAGTGGGCAAAATAAGCATATCCGGGTAGCTGAGACTACCGGTAATGACTCAGATCCCATCCAGCCGTGGACAGGTCACATCATGTCAGCAGCATTGGCGCAAGGCAGGGTTGTTTAGCTGATTGGAGCCGTTGCTATGTCAACCTGGTTGCAGATCTACACGCTTTGTGAAAGAATCGGGCCAGCAAGATTACTCGTCGACTGGACACTGTTCACCTGTTGTCAACAGAACTATGAAAATGGATGAGATTTGATCTGACATTACAAAGGCCTCCATGATCCACCTCTCTGATCTAGTATGAATACGTCACTGAGTGAATGTAGCCATTTTCAACTTCTTCTTCTTCTTCTTCTTCTTCTTCTTTTGTTCTGCCCTCATCCTCCTGTGTTTTTAACCCTGTCGTTTTCTTTGTCGTGTCTGTGTGTCAAGTACAGTTTTACACTCTTTATTACTGCTGCAAAGTACATTGTGCTGTGTTTGTGTGCTTGTCGTTTGCTGTATGGCCACTACTACTTTTTAGTTGAATTCATGCAGCCATCAACAGTACTACTATTCAATCGTCAATTATGAGCTGAGATGATGTCTGGGACCTCATCGTCGTCCTCTTCCTCCTCCTCCTCCTCCTCCTCCTTCTTCTTCTCCTCCTTCCTCTTCCCACCCCCCCCCCCCCCCCCCCCTCTCATTCCTGTTCACAACATCTCTGTCTGCCTGGATGATGATCCGGGCAGGCAGGAGTCATCATTGTGCGTAAGGTGCGAAACATGTTACTTCTTACTTGGCGCTGTGATTCACACAAGACAGTAGATCTACATTGTATGTGATATGCTTGAGGGAGTTGAATTAGCGGAAAACACGAGCAGAACTGCGGATCCTGGAGGGGCGGCGGCTGATGTACTAGTATGTCGTCTGTGTGTCCAGTAAGTGAGTTCCACTTGCATGAATGTACTACACTTGGAAGCAGGGAGTAGACTGTAGTAAACACTGCTTTGCTTTGCGGCAGCAAGAGTCTAATGACCTCCCATTATGGGAACTTACTCTTGGTAGATCTGCCAGCAAGAGTACCAGGGAGTAGTAGAGAAGTAGATCTACTGTCCGCGGGTCGAGTAAACCCGGACCTGCACCACTTCCTGGCAACAATCGTGCAAAGTCCGGTGCCATGTCGACACACGAAGACTCTGTTGCAGAAATCTAACATACTGGTACAGTAACATGGCTGTACTTCGATACAGGCAGGTCTATTGGCACATCTGATGATCTGTTCTTATGTACTCTTGCAGTCTTGGTAATATCAAGAGTACATAACCCCCCCCCCCCGGGGGTTATGTACTCTTGGTAATATGCTTGCGGACCAGTGACCAGCTACAAGTAGAGGTCTCGAGACTGACCCTATTCCGCTTCGCTCGAACTCAGCGGGCGCAGGCGCTGTCCCCAACCTGAGCAAGCATTCTTCGGAAGCCAGGGAGTCGTCACGTGTCGTATGCGACTCCCTGATATAGCTGAGTGAAGCCACATTTCCTTGGCAGGTTTCCAGCTACCTGCAGATCTACATTCTGTCCCCGCAGCACTGCGGCTGGCAGCAGGGCCTAGGGGACATGTGCTGTCTGTATCGTTGCAGTCTCAGTCCCAACCACTGAACCAGTGCAAGCCCTAGGCCCTGTCGACCGTGCAGCATGGACTGTGATGCTACTGCCACTGTGAGTGTGAGAATGAGTGAATGATAAATTGTGGTACAATTTTGTGAGCGGACAAGGTAGAAATGGAACGTTAACTGCAGTCTGGCAAAAACTGTTTTTTTGCATGAAGGTCACCTACAACTATCTGTTTTTCAGATCCCAAAGTTTCAGGCTGATACTATGGTGGGAAGTGCCTTACATTCACTATTTTCTAGATGCCGGTCAGTATTTTAACGTCTGTTTCGGGATGACTTAAACAGTCCACCCTTCAGTACAACCACAACACTGAAAAAAAACCCATTATCTTGGCCTGTATTTCTCCACACGTGTATATCAGTGTGAAAGATGAGCTGATCACACACATGGACTCGTTTGAGGTGGAACCAAGCAACAAAACCACATAACTAGAAACAGCCGGAGCCGAAAAATCAGCTCCAGAAAAACTCGTGATGCAAGGCAAAATAATAGGACTGTTGAAGCTGGTACTCAATCCACACATCAAATACCACTACACACATGTCAAAAATAGAAGAATTTGGCGGACAAATGGCAATTCCAGTGCGTTCTTGCTTCATCCATGTGTGCACACTCTCATCGTATACTGTTGGCGACCTCGGACTCTGCTCTGATGCATTGAGGCTCCCGACGACTGAGCGGCGCACCTTGGTAATATAGTTTGTAACATTTTGGCAGGAGACAGACAGCTCTTGAACACACAGCATCGAAATAATATTCCGGAGACGCACCACCAATACGGTGCCCATTGGCGAAGCAGGACGAGTCCACAGACTTGAGAAACTGTACTTAACGTAACGTTACACATCAGTCCGCAATCCGAGGCCCGATTTGACTTCTTTCCACTCAGCTCATGTTCACCAGCCTTGACCATTCTGTGTATCTCAATTCCAGACAGTGCACGATGCAGGTCTGCCACTTGCATCCAATGCATTGGGCAACAGCTAGCTAGTTGCCCAGTTCTGGGCTATTAAGTCCCTGCATACGTTCCCCTGTGGTGCACGACGCTATTGTTTCTTCAGCTCCTGCGCTGTCACGGTGCTTCAGAGCTCTGAAGTCGGTTCGGCGTATACATTCAGTACAACTCAGCATCCACAGGAACGTTCCCCTTCATTGGTGTTACCATCATCACTGCTGTCACCACGTTCGCCTGCATCCGAAAGATCCATCTCATTTGTTCCCTATGTCTTTTTGTACCGTGCTGAAGCCAGCAGCAAACAAAACGCTGATCGGCACGTCGTTTTCGGCGTAGTGGAAGACGCTCTCGACTACTACCTGACTCAGAAACGCTCTCAGAATCAGAGAAGCTCTCAGCACCTGACAGCAGGCTATCAGCTGATCGCCGTCACCTCCAAATTCGCCCGTCAATACGCCACCCGTCGCACAACTAGCTGCCATATCTTCCTTCAGCCATAACGGATTCACTTCAAATTTTCAGTGCTGGACCTTGAAGCCCTGTGCTGAGCGAGGCACAAGCGCTTGATGCAAATAGAGCCCTCTAACCCAGGTAAAAAATATGCCACAGTTTGCCAAACTTCAAACGCCTGTATCTCGAAATGATGTCATGCAGCTAACGTTCCATTTCTACCTTGTCCGCTCACACATGTAGTAGTTTGGCCGACTGGAGATTGGAGTAGCACTCACTAGCAGGGTCTCTTGTCGTTCTAGCTTGAGCCGGTAGTTAGCAACAATGGCTCCCGGTAAAGACGTCCAGGTGGTGTGGGGTGGTGGAGCCCCGGACCCGTCGCCGCCCTCACCTACAGGATCAATGTCTGCCAAGACGATCACCTACTTCACCGTGATTTTGACAACCACGACCATTCTGACCAGCTATGTTATCGCCGTTTCGCTTCACCACGAACCCGCTTTCCTGCCGATGATATCGGACTGCGCCATCAAATCTCCGGAGATGTACCTGTTCCGCTATGGCATGTTGGTCTCAGCTAGCTTGCTGGCGTGCAACGTGCTGGTGATACATGCCGCCACGAAGAGCACTTATTCACTGGCTCATGCCAGCATGACCAGTGGTCTTCTGGCTGCCTTCGGACTTGGCCTGTTGACAGCAGTGAACGTACACGAGTTCACCCCTGTGCACGGAGGTGAGAAAACTATAGACAGCGTCTGCAAGTAGAACTCACCAATCTACCCGCCATAGCGCTATCATCCAGCCAGTGACTAAGTTCTACACTGCAGTCTGGGAGATAATGTGGATGTGCAGGGGAGGGGAATCAGTACAAGTATGGCTTCTGACCATGACAAATACAATGTAGAATGCACTGGAAAGTGGAATGCAGCTACAGCCTGGCGAGACATATTACTGCTGTTCATAACCATGGTGTACTGTCTCTGTATAGCGTACACAACTCATGCGTGTACGTGTGTGTGCGTGTGTGTCGCCCCAGACCTCCAAACCTGCCCTTGCAGAGGATCTGCCGGTATACTCCGGTGGGGGGATTTGCACCAGCCTGAGAGTTTCTATGTGTTTCTTTCTGTGTGGTTTTCAGCTGCTGCAGTGACATTCTTTGTGTGCTATGAAGTATTCATGCTGATCATCAGCTACAACGCACAGGCTGACGAGCGTGTGTCGCGCACCTCGCTCAATGTGAAGCGAGCGGCCGCAATCGTCTCCTTGATCGCCCTGCTCTGCCTGGCCGGCATGTGTATCCTACCTAGTACACTCAGTCCATTGGACTACGTGTTGAAATTGCTAAGCGCAGTGAATGCATAGCCTTGACTTGATTGTACATGTAGCAGCAGTAGCCTTGTACAGGGGGGGGGGGGGGGGGGGGGGGGCTCACGCATGCCGCACCACCTTGACTGTGTATTTGCTCCACCACCTTGACTGTGTATTTGCTCCGTGTACAGTTCAACCGACCTGACCGTGCCCACGACCATGTAGACTATACTGTATAGTACATGTACAGTGGCAAACACTGTTCAGTCAGGTCGACCCGTGTGTCCTTATACACCCCCAGTGACATGCATGCTTACTACATGTACTAGTACTGTAACAAATACAGTCATGTACTGCTCGATGCGGCACTGTTCTTCCTCAGGGAAGATCCAAATGCGCTCGACATTGCATTGCATACTTGGCAGGGGTTTTCCTCAGCATCTCAGTTGCCGGCTGCCGATGATGCAGTCTGATCTAACTCAAGTTGCTTACAGGAATACGTCGACCTAAGAAAAATCAGACCCAGCGGGGTCGGGTGGTTTTAGCTTGCGTCCTGGTCCTCCATCTGCCAAACACTTTCCAGGGATGCACAATACACGTCCTGGTCCTCCATCTGCCAAACACTTTCCAGGGACGCACAATACACTCCTGGTCCTCCAGCTGCCAAACACTTTCCAGAGACGCACAATACACTGAGAATGCATGATAGGAAGCCGGAACATTGGACCAGGCATTGGTGTGCATTGGAAATATCAGTGCCATGGTGATCATGGTGCAAGCCAAGCCAACCATGATTACGGTTGTTTCAAGAGCTCCTCCATGCACTACTGACCATATAGTGTTGTTATCACGCACCGTGACTGGTAATACTAATAGTGTATTGGCTGATCTGTAAGCCGCAGTGTGGTTGGGGCAAGGAGCGCTAGGTCTTCTAATGCCTGAGAGGTGTAGCTGAGCGTGCATTCAGTATACCCGGACAGGCGCGTGCCCGTATGGGTTCCTGGGTGCCCGGAACCCCCCTTTTTTCGCTCAAAATGCAGGATTTTGCTTCATTTTTGAAATTTATTCCGGGGAGGCCCCCCGGAACCCCCCATTGAAGGGCACCGGCGCACGCGCCTGCCGGATGATTCTTGAAGTACAATGTTATAATGTTGCGAAATGCCTTCTACAAATCATCTTTGGGCTGGACCTCTCCTTGACGGTCATTGCACTGAACTAGCACCCAAATGGAGCCATTTCCGAACGCCAATCGCTGTCTGTGAATGGTAAGTTAAGGTTCAGCTGCTATAGACTAAAATAACAACTTTTAGAAGTCTAAGCCGACGGCGGCCCTGTAGGCTGGTATAGGGTGCCGCTCACATCATGGGCGGGGAGAGGGAGGAAGACATTTGTTGGCCTGCTCAGTGTGCTCTATACTTCTTTCGTTGGTTCTGGTCATGCACAGCACCAGTCCATGCATGAACACCCTCTGTACTGAGGTCATGACTGGACACTTTTCAGGCCGTGAGGTGTGCAGTCTTCACGGCGTTTATGTTGCTGAAGTATAAGCATGTACTTGCATGCTGAGCATGCCATGCAGTGTTCCGACGTCGGCACTTGTAACCTCAGCGGCTGCTGTGATCATGTGAAAGTAACGTTAGCCGGTATCTACATGTACATGATTGTACTCGTACATGTGTGCATGTATCAAGGAAAACTTGAAGCAGTGGTGTATACATGTACTTCGAAGTATGCATGCACATGACATGCTGCCGGTACAACTCACGTAACGGCACTATTGCCAATCACGACTGGCCATGTTATGCAACCCTGAGAGGATGATTATTTAGAATTAATGGCTCACAGTATCGGAAGTTTGCTTGCTTGTCTTCAGTTCTTGCCATAGCTTGACTAATGGGTAGATTTTGTGTGTTGGTTGCAACTTGCAGGACCAGCACTATCATGATCCAGATCTTCAACCTCAGCTTTGTCAAGGATCTCGGCACAACTACCATACAAGAAATCAGTGGCATTCACAGCTCCAGCTCAGGTGGCTACAGGCCATTGAAAAACATGATCTAATTGTCGGGAGGAAGAGCTTCAGTGCTTGATCGAGATATGCCAATGTGGCTCTAGTATGAACGAAATCTGTCATTGTATTAGTGTGGCTGTGGTGCATGATGTTTCAAGTCATTTCAAATATTATGAGATAAACAGCCACATAGAGCAATTTAGTTTGCTACACTACTAGCTTGTGTGCCGGGATTTTACGGCTTTGTGAACTGAAGATTACTGCAGAAATTTCTTGCGCTGTTACAGATTTCATTTCAAGATTATGAAACTATCCCTTTTTTGTACTTTTCATAGACTTCAGCCATGCAGCCGTTTCATATTGCGTAATGTACTCGTAACTCTTCGAGTTACGAGTAGGGTTACGAGTAGGTTATGGGCCATTTCTCTCAGGATGATTGTGCCGATTGCTGCGGATATTGTATCTCCTCGAGTATTTATTTTACGGGAACTCTTGTCAGCTGTCTGTCTATCTGTCCATGTACTTTATGCGTTATGGAGAACCATTCATGAATTCCTCCGGGCTGAGCGTTCTAGGACGCAGTCTGCCGCATACATGTATCACCTACTACAGTATTTACCGGGCACGTGGAGGTTAGAGTATTGCATCGACTTACACATTGCACATTGCATGGGGGTGGTTACCATGCCGCAATGCGCCCAGGACGGTTAAGTTGTCCAAGTTTGGGCTCTGGTGGATCAAACACTCGGCTCAAGTCAGGAGGGAAAGAGAGGGAGGAGGAGGAGGCACCTGCGACCATACAGATATCATACGCACTGCCCCATAATAGCCATTGTATGTTGTGGCATCATCCGCATAGCAAACTGCTACAATATACCAGGTTACACTTACATCTACACAGTCATGTCATGTGACATGTACATGACTGATTGTAGAATCTACATGCTATGCCTAGGCTGGATAATAAAGTGCCATGCTAAAGTAATGCCTATACTAATGGGGCCATACTGGAGTCACGGTGATGTACGTAGATCTATGTGTCTACTGACTAGCATGACTGTACTCTGTATACATGTACATGTACATGTGTACTGAGCTGAGCTGATGAGGCAACGACTACTAGTACTAGTACTATTATAATATCTTGTGATCATATCAGATCGTGAGGTTCACACTAACTAACGTTACTTTACATGGTCAGTCAGCTCCGACGCCCATGTGACTTTGCGTTTTGCTGTTGGCGGTTTGGTGCCGCTGTCTTCTTGGTCTTGACCCTCGTTGGGTAGTTTTTTTTCTCTCCTTCGCCTGACCTCAGCGTAGCCAGTAGATCTACCCTACCTACAATAGCCCGTCTCATCATCGAGTCGCAATGGCGCCCGGTAGAGATGTCAAGGTGGTGCTGGACGATGGAGACCCATCGCCGCCTTCGCCCAAACCAGTAGCCGCGTCCATGTCAGCCAAGATAATCACGTACTTCACCGTGATTCTGACGACGACCACTATTCTGGTCAGCTACGTTACCGCCGCGTCGCTTCACCATGTGCCTGCATTCTTACCAATGATTTCCGATTGTGCCGTCAAAGCACCCGAGATGTACTTGTTCCGCTACGGGCTACTTGTTGCCGCTAGCTCGCTGGCTGTCAACGTCCTGGTGATTCATGCTGCGACGAAGAGCACGTACTCCCTGCCCCATGCCACCATGGTCAGTGGTTTCCTTGCATCCTTCGGACTTGGCTTGCTGACTTCGGTGAACGAGGACGAGTCCAATCCAGTGCATACGAGTAAGTACTACTTCCACCTCCAGGGAAACCGGTGTGCAGAAGTCAGCGGATCAGGTGTCTGCAATAAAGCCACCTGCAGTCAAGTAATTGTACAGCGTAGATCTAGATCTAGTGAGTAGTGTGGCTCAATGAAATCCGATTGCGCGAGTCAAGCATGCGCCGGGCGCTGAGCAGCCCCTACAAGGCTACATGCAGTTCGGCGAACACTGGGACGCTCGCCTGATTGGATTTCATTGATCAGCACTGTACTTAGTTGCCAATGCGATGACCAAGCCTGTGATACACGCGACCGGGAGTAGTGCCGGGACGGTCGAGAAGTTCACCGCAAGTTCAAAGAAGAGCGAGATGCCGAACGCTACCTGCATCGAATCCAGGACTGCAAACGGGGTTGTGCCGTTGAATGTGGCGATGCAGCGGCTTGCATGCCGGGGGTGATGAGGGGGGGGGGGGGGGAGTACTGGCCCGGACTGAAAATCATACTACAGAATATGCCAATACGCATACTGCGTGTATACCGATAGCCTAGAGTCATGGCGATGCGGGGCTGAGTACCGGCATGACCGGTGCTTACCAGAATCACAGCACCAATGCTTGCCGGCCTTCTCTAGTTTCCAGACAGTGCAGAGCTCATCATACGGTTGCTGGCCTTCTCTAGTTTCCAGACGGTGCAGAGCTCATCATACGGTTGCTGGTCATAGCAACACAGAATACAGGCTGCTTGCTCTTGAGACCGCATCACACGCCATGGGACAGCCATGCACAGGTACAGGAAACAACGGTCTACACACCGTGACGATACAACCACTTCTAGATTAGGATTGGTGGCCGGTCTGAGTTTCCTTTGGTGTTTCTGCTGTCTTGTCTGCCGCCCATTCTGTGTTGTAGCTGGTGCCGTCATGTTCTTCCTGTGCTACGAGTTTGTCATGCTTGTCATCAGTTACAATGCACAGTATGATGCACGTGTGTCGCGGCTATCACTCAACGTGAAGCGCACTGCCGCTGTCATCTCCTTGATTTCCCTGCTCGCCCTCGTTGCCATGTGTATCCTCCTCTGCATCGTGATGCCACTGGCCTGAGTGTGTATGATGGTGTCGTTGGGTTATGTAGATGGTATTATTGTATGCATGTATTCTGCACGCATACACATGGGGATGTAACTGTTATGTGTGTGTGTGTCCGTCTGTGTATGCACATGTGTGTGTGTGTGTGTGCGCGCGTGCGCGTGCGATGAATGTGTGTGTATACATGTATGTGTGCATGTGTGTGTGTGTGTGTGCATGTGTGTGTGTGTGTGTGTGTGTGTGTGTGTGTGTGTGTGTGTGTGTGTGTGTGTGTGTGTGTGTGTGTGTGTGTGTGTGTGTGTGTGTGTGTGTGTGTGTGTGTGTGTGTGTGTGTGTGTGTGTGTGTGTGTGTGTGTGTGTGTGCATCCAGAGCTATGTATATGTATGAGCCCTAACCGCACGCATGAATGATATACCGTACCAGCTCCTGAAGAATATGCAACCCCCAGGCGAGCTAGTAGCTGGAGCCCCACATCGGCAAAGGGTTTTTTTCAAAGGGAAAGTGTGGGCACAGCAGGGTATTTCATAGGCAATTCCTAACTTGCTTCAAGGCATATTTCTTCCTAAGAAGGATCAGACCTTGATGGGGTAGAGGTGGTTTGGAAATTGAGTCCATGTGCCCTAAAACTTGCACCCAAGAGCGTACAGAATGTCTGGAAGGAAACACGAGGGCAAAGATATGATGCCGCACTGTATGGACATTGTCATAACCAGTATGCCTCGCAACATGAAATTGTGTGGCTGCAGAATGCTCATGCCTGGCTCAGCTGTGGCACAGTCCCGCACAGTCCTGGTGCTCCAGTCATGGCTCTGGCCCGGTGGGTACCGGCGATGTACACCACTACTAGCTGGCTAGCTAGATCCGATGGTTATCCGTGCATGCCTGGGGAGTACTGAAGTGGTCAGAGCTGTTAGTAGGCAAAGCCCATGGCTAACAGTACTCCGAGCTTGTAGTCTAGGCCAGTACAGCTAGCCGTGTAATCCTTAACTCCACGATGACAATGCCAGCCTCTCAGTTTCACCATTTCCGTGTACCAATTGCTGTCTGTGAATGGTAAGACTGATGGATGTCATAATACTCATGCAGTCGACTTCACTTACAACGGACGAATTTCGTGATATCGAACCATTGTCCATGCTCCAGCCTCTTTCATACCAAATTGACCCTTTATTGCAAACCATTTCCGTTTATAACGAACTATAATCTTGTAGGGCTGCATGTAAACCAAGTGCCACTTGCCAGTCATGATGTGTTCCTTGGATAGTGTCACTGTGGGTTTGGTATAGAGAACTGCAGCTCTAAAGAACAAATTCTCCTGAACACTGCTATGATACATGTACAGGAGTCGACTGAACTGAAATCAGTGAATATTTTAAACTTTAAAGTGTAATTGCGGTACTCACAAACCCACGTACAGTACTGGTATGTGTGTGTGTGTGTGTGTGTCTCTCTCTCTCTCTCTCTCTCTCTCTCTCTCTCTCTTTCTCTATCTCTCTCTCTCTCTCTCTCTCTCTCTCTTTCTCTATCTCTCTCTCTATCTCTCTCTCTCTATCTCTCTCTCTCTCTCTCTCTCTCTCTCTCTCTCTCTCTCTTTCTCGCTCTCTCTTTCTCTCTCTCTCTCTCTCTCTCTCTCTCTCTCTCTCTCTCTCTCTCTCTCTCTCTCTCTTTCTAACACATCCCACCTTCCCTCTTGTCACTATAGCTGTCATCTCCTCCTCATTCTCATCCTCCACTTCATTTTACTCCTCCTGCTGCTGCTTCTGGCATTCGCCATGATGATCCGGCTACGCCGTTGCTAAACTCTACAGTCATTATCTAGTACTATTTCTTGTATCTCTGAGGTGGTCAGGACTTGTGCGGCACACATTCTGAGGCTAGTAATAACTGATCATGTGCTCATCATCATGGTCACTCTGTGTGTGTTGGTTGCAGGACAAGCACTATCATGATCCAGATCTTCAACCTCAGTTTTGTCAAGGACCTCGGCACAACCACCATACAAGAGATCAGTGGCATACACATCTCAAGCCCAGGTACCTACAGGCCATTGAGGAACATGGTCTGATTACGGTCTCGGGAACACCTAGCAAACTAAATTGTGTTCTAAGCGATTCCGGGAATGGTTGGTGCCACTACATAGCTGAGCACTCGCTGGGCTATAGCTAGAATAGGAACTGTGGCAAGTGTGCGTTGTGTACCGTACCGCGGCTTTCAGCCTGATAGCAGATTTGCTGTGAACATTGAATAGTTTTTGAACTAGGTTATAAATTTAATATAATAAGTTATAAAATACTATGATAGCAACAGGAATCCGCTGTCACTGGCTGGCCCAGACTTCAGTGCACTGGCTATTGCATAATATTATTTCAAGTACATGTACATGTACATGACCTCAGCATTTGGGGTAACGTTCGTCTGGTGATGATTCACTAGTTGTCATACTGGTAGAACCTTTTTTTTCCTGTGTTCGCATTTGAACATCTTGGCACCCGCCTGGCACTTGCCCCTATGTAGCACACTCACGCTCTGGTACACAAGCCGAAACTCACAACGATCAGTTTATCTGTGCCTGTATGTGTGGCTACAGACAATAAATTATATGTACCGGTATTTCACCTTGCAGTTAGCTGAGTACTTGCTGTCAATGATAATACTTTGCCGCAGTCCCACTTCGGCATTTTTTGGCACCGGGTCGGCGACTGCAAGTGCAAGCTATCCGGTGCCGTACTGGGATAACTTGCAGTGGAGTGTCGGGCCTGACACTGTCCGCTGCAGAGAGCTACTCTGGCAAGTCCCGTTGATTTCAGTGACTCTGGCCAACGTTTGTGGACAGCGTCTGAAAATCAACCTTACCAATCAATACCATGATGCCAGCCACCTGAAGTTGGTCAGAGTCGCCATCACAGTATCCCGGCTGGATTCAGAGAAAAAGCCTGCACTCTCTTATTAGTAATTACTAGTAGTTGGCCTCTTTGATTTCGCAACCTCAATCTGGGTTTAATCATGCGCCCGCAGAGTTGGACAGTGTGCTTGTCACAGCCTTTCAGAGTCATGAAGTGCAATGTAGATCTACTCCGCAATACGTCCGGGATCGCACTTCAAGTGCTGCTGTGTGGCACAAGCTACAATAACATACATTGTGGTCTGCCAGCCGTTGAAGACGAGTTCCATAACCATGTTGGTAGTGGTAACCCTGCGGACCCCAGGAATTATGCACATGGAAGTACATGTATGATGTACTTTTCAGTACCACCAGGGACCTGGAGTGGTATAAGCCATGCAGGGAACACTTCCCTCCGACGCCCCTGCCTGCAAGGCTTGTATCATGTACTCTTGATGGCACTGAGTCCGACTGACATGACATGACTTATGAGTCGTATTTTTACGACTCCCTACCTGTCACCATGACAATCAAGTAGTTACGTTACTTCGAGGAGAGCGGTTGATTCAAATCATTTGAACTGCAAAGTCTCGTGTTGATCATTCTGCTTGCAGTAGTCGAGTCTGTGTGAAGGATCTTGATTCTGTGTTCAGGTGTTTGTTGTTCCTAGCAGTAGCAGCCTTCTTTTCCCCTGCCCCAGAGCTTAGTCAAGTTAGTGTTCATAATCATGATAATGAAGTAGTAGTATTGACACAAGTAGGTGCGCTTCGGCATCTGAGGCAGTAAGTATGAGCTGGGTCCAAGAGGAGTGGAAGGATGGACTGGCTCCGAGCGTACTGCATAAAATTGATCAGCTTGAGAGACAAACTGAACAATTGCGGAAAGAGAATCAGCAGAGGCGTTTCCAGGTCGATACGTTAGAGCAGGCACTGCGCAAGCAGAAAAAAGCAGTGGAGGAGGAAAAACAAGTAAGTGGCGAACTGAAGGGCGAGCTGCAATCAGTAACCAGATCCAATTGTGAATTGGAACAAAAATTGTCACGTCACGAAAATGATCAGTCGAGGCAATTGGCTGCTGAGCGCAGTGCTCTGGGTTCTCTCAAATCGCGGAATATCGCAGCCCAGGAGCTGTTGAAGAAGCGAGAGAGCGAGGCACGCGTTCTGACAGAGCGATGTAACGAGTTGACAAGTGATTTGGGTTCGTGTCGTGAGGAGCTGGTTGCTGCAAGTACGAACATGGAGAAATTGACCGATCAGATGGCTGTATGTAAGAACGAGCTGAGAATGGAGAAGGAGAACTCAGCCGTACACTGCAGGGACTTGGAGAAAGTGAATGCATCATTGGCCAACGATTTGGTGGATTTGCAAGAGCAGTTGAGAGGCGAGAAAGCCAATTGCGAAGCCACTCAGAACCGGAATGAGGAACTGACACGGCAGGTGAACGTGTATGCCGAGCAGGCGTCCGAGCTGTGTAAGGAGCGTGATGAGAGCAATGCGACCACTTTGAGTATGAAAGTCGAACTGGAGGAGCTGAAATCTACATATGACGCAGCAGCCCTGGGATGTACCTCTGCCACTGAGCTCGCCAGGTCTCTGCAGGAGCGGCTGGATGCCTCCGAGCGCCTGTGTTCAGAGGCAGCAGAAGAGATGGGACCTCTGGGTGACCAGCTTGCCTCCTACAAGGATCAGGTTGATAGCTTGACCGTGGAGCGTGATCAGCTACTCGAGCACAGTAATGCAGCACAGGCATTGCTGGAGCAGCTCGAGGATGCACGTATGGACAGTGAGCAACGCTACAGTGATCTACTAGCTACAGTAGAGGTCAACGGCGAGAACCAGTCACTGTCTGCTGATGTTCTGGAAGCTAAGGATGAGCAGCTATCTTTGATCATATTAGAGAAAGAAAACATCTCCAGCCAGTTGCAGATCGAAGCCGATCAGGTCGCCAAGCTGACCGATCAGAATGAGAACCTAGAAAATCAGCTAGAAGCTGCTAATGACCAACTGTGTTCTGTTTCGACACAGCTCTCTGCAGCTAGCCAGAGCATGGAACGCATGGAGCAGGAGATTTCAGAGCAAGCCAACCAGCTGTCCAGCGGTACGGCGGTGCTCAGGAGCAAAGATGAGCAGTTGCAAACTGTCACTCAGGAGTTCACCGTCCAAGCCGGTGAGTTGCACGGCAAACTGGAGACATTGGAGATAGCTCTCACCAACAAAGAGAACCAATACATCCACGCTCAAACGCGCATCACTGATCTTAGTCGAGAGCTCGAACAGCGCACACACGATCATCAAGCTGAGCTGGAAAGTGTTCTCAAGGATCTTGAGCAGAGAGAAGGCCAAAGCGAACAGCTCGAGCAGCTCCAAATGGCAGAGGCGCAACTAAATAATGAACTTGGTCAACTAAAACATGCCGCTTCTGCCCGTGCCAAAGAAAACGAGCAGCTACAGGTGGAGCGGGATGAGGCGATCCTGCGTTGCGAGACAGCAGCGAGCAAGAACAACGACCTCAGCGAGCGGCTGTCACAACTCAGCGGTACCCTGTCGGCTTGCCAGGAAGACAATGGCCGCCTTTCCTCATGCATTGACGAGGAACGCCGGCGCAATTCATCCCTTGAGGATGAGAACGGTAACCTGGCATCGCAGGCTGCTGCACTCTCTACTCGCGCTACGGAGCTAGAGGCAGCCATGCACGGCCTGGAAGAGCAAGCCGCTACTACGACATCGTCTCTGGAGACAGAGCAACAGGCACATGCCAAGACAAAGGCCACTCTTCTAGAGGAAAGTGCTGAGGAGAGGGTGAAGCTCGGTTCAGAAATCGACTCTCTGTCTTCCCAGCTTAGCTCATCCCGTGCTGAAGTAGCCGAACTCATGCAGAAGCAGTCAGCTGCCGACAACATAGCCAGTGAGCTACGTGTCCAGTTGAACAATGTGATGGCGGAGAATGGCGTTCTTAGCACTGAGATGCAGGATACGACACAGCAAGCCGCCCGTCTGGAGGAGAAGCTTCAACTGCTGGAAGAAGAGTACTCTGGCATTGTTTCTCAATTGGACGGTGCACGAAATACGCTTCAAGCAAAGGAGGACATGCTATCCAACATGCAAGGGCAAGTAGAAACGCTTGAAGCCGAGTGTTCGCAGTGCAAAGCAGATGCGCAATCTCTGGCCGAGCTGACAGAACAACTTGGCCTTACTCAGAGTTCGCTGACCGAGCTGACAGAACAGCTGCAGAGCGTCACGGAGGAGAAAGTTCAAGCAACTGAGCTAGTCACCAATCTTGCAGAGGACCTGTCGCAGAAAAACAACCAACTTGATTGTCTCGTGTCTGAATTCAGCGACAGCAAGGCCAGTCTAGTGACAATGACGAACGACCTGCGGCTGAAGGATGAAGAACTGAGTACGCTGAAAATTCAGTTGACAGCTGCACAGGAAGAACAAAACACTTTGCAAGGCGAGTTATTGAAGCAACAAGACCTTCACAATGAACTTGAACTGAAGCTAGACGAGGCACGGCTTGACACGGACAACGCCACTGCCGCAAACCAGGCGCTGTGCGGGGAGCTGTCTCAGCGGCTGTCCGATTCTGAGCAGCGTAAGCTACAGCTTGAAGCAGACCTGGACAATGTCCAAAACTCTGCTGCTAGCCAACGAGAACAACATGCAGAAGAATATTCGCAGCTAGCCTCACAGCTATGCAAGCAGGAGAAGGAGGCTGCTGAGGTGGCTGCACAGCGTAATCAGCTCTCTCAGGAATGTTCAGCTCATGCACAGACAGCCTCGGAGTTACAGGAGCGGCTGGCCAGTGCAGAATCAGCCATTGCACAAGATCACGCCAAGGTTGAGAGCATAACAGCCTTGCTCGATGCAGAAAAGCAGCGGGCCTGTCATCTTGAGCAACTCAAGGAAGAATCAGCAGAACATGTGACACAACTTCACAGCAAAGTGTCGTGTCTTGAAGATGCACTTGAGCAGCAGCAAGGCGTTGCACAGACTGCCTTAGCTGACCAAGTCGTGGCATACAACGAGACCGTTGCCAAGCTGGAGCAAATGGAGCAAGCCACAGCACAGCAAACCGCTGAGACATCTGCACAGATTGAACAGCTGTCGGCGGATTTAACTGCATCCAAACAGCTCATCTGTGAACTGCGCGAGCAGTGTGCCGCAGCCAGTGGTTCCATGCAAGACCTCGACGAGCAACTACGCTGTGCGACTAGGGAGAAGAGCCTAGCCGACGAACTCGCTTCAACGCTTCAGCAGCGTCTTGCAGAGAGAGAAGAATCTGAGGCCAGTCTTGGCCACAAGCTGCAAGATGCTAATTCGGAAAAGGATAGCCTATTAGCATCACTTAACGCTTCCCGAATCGCCTGCGATGAGCTGCAATGTCACGTGAACGAGTCGCGGGATGAGAAGACGCAGCTGCAAGAGGAGCTGGGTGCCGCAAATGACGCACTTCATGTCGTTTCCGAAGACCGTGATCGCCTCAACAGTGAGCACGAGCGACTGCGCTCTTGCCTGCATGACGTAGAGGAGAACAGTGTGCGAGCAATGACAGACTTTGAGGAGACCCTCGCCGAGCAACGCACTACCCTATCAGCGACCATTGGCGACTTGAAGAGCGAGCTCCTATCTGCTGCAGACCATCTTGCAGAGGAACAGTCCAAAGCAGCCAGCAGTGCACAGATGCTTGACGTTGAGCGGAACCGAATTATCGCCCTGGATGCGGAGAAATCTGATCTGGTGAAGAAATCCGCTCAGTTTCAGGCCCATGCTGCTACACTGGAGGAGACGATTAGATCTCAGCAAAACACTCTGCAGGAAAACGAAGCTGAGCGTACCGAGACCAAGCGACAGCATGCAGAGACACTGCTTGATCTGGAACATGCAATGGCGGAGGCAGATCAGCATCATCGTCAGGAACTTGATCGGCTCTTGCGTGAGCTCGCCGTGGCTAAGGAGGATGCTGACGGTGTCACAGACCAACTTCGCGCCACTAAAACCTTGGTCGGTGAACTCCGCGAGTCATGCAACAGCATAGAACTAGAGAAGCAAGATGCTCTGTGTCGTGCTGCATCACTTGAAGCTGAACGCTTGAAGAACGAGACAGCACTCGCTGAGCTAGAGGTCCAGCGTTGCACCCTGACTGATCAAGTAACGGCAGCCACTGATGCAATGCGCCAAAAGCAGAATGATCTGACCGATGTTGAACTTCACGTGCACTCAGAGCGCCAGAAGTGCACTGCACTGGCACAAGAAATTGTCACTCTCCAGGCCACGGAGACCACTCTCAATGAGAAGATTGCCGACTTACTTGTTGTGCAGGACAATTCAACAGCTTCACTGAAGACAGCACAGTCGATGTGCACCGACTTGGAGGATCAGCTTCGCACTGTGCGAAGCAGCGAGTCATGCCTTGGGGATGATCTGAATGTGACCAAGCAATCACTCTACAATGCTAATGCTGAGCTGGCTGAAGTCCGTGCCCGGCTGTTGTCAAGTGAACAGAACTATGGAAATGCTCAAACCAGCGCCGAGCGGCTGACCGGTGATCTGCAAGACCTGCAGTCTTCTTGGAATGCAGAGCGACAGGCACTTTCTTCTGATCTTGCCAGCAGTCTGAGGACATGCGACGAGTGGAACTCTAAGTTTGATCATCTGCGGAGCAGTGCTGATGAGCTGGAGACCCAGCTGCTGGCATCCAATGAATCTTGTGACAAGAAGCAAGTGGAGATTGTCGCGCTCAGCGAGAAACTGGCAGCCAGTGAACGCGACCTTGCGGTTATGTCCGCCGAGAGTGACTCTCTGCAGTCGCAAACTGCCAATCTGGAAGAGACGCTTGCGGATGTCCATACCCGGTACAATGACATCGAACAACAGCATGCGGACTGCGCAGCAGTATCCGCACAGCAGGAAGATAGACTGCGTAGTGCAGAAACCGCATTGGCGCAGGCTACAGCAGAGGTGGCAAGTGCGTCAAAGCATCTACAGGACGAGAGAGATCGTCTGTGTAGCCTAGAGGCAGAAAAGAACAGAATCACAGAGCAGTCGGGTGTGCTTGAGAGCCGCATCTCTCAGCTGGAAGAAGCTCTCGGCCAACAACAAGCAATCGCTGGGGGACTGCAAGGCACACTGGATGAGATGGAGCGGCACCATGCAGACGACTTGTCATCTGCTACCAGCCGCATAGAAGAGCTGTGCCAGCAGCTGGACCGTGCTGGCACCGAAAACCAAGACATGTGCGAGCAGATATCCTGCCTCACCGGTCAGTGCGAGCAGATGGACGCAGGCGTTGGTCAACTCAAGTCCGAGCTTGCCGCATCTTTAGGCCACGCTGAGCAGCTTAGTGAGAAGGTCAAGTGTCAAGAGGCAGAGGTGAGTAGTTACAACTCACAGCTGACGAGTGTGGAGCAAGAGTGCGAACGCTTGCGTCAAACTGAAGCCCTACACAAAGGCAGTCAAACCGAAGCCAAGCTGAGAGCCAGTCAGCTAGAGACCGAGCGAGATGACCTTCATGCTACGGTCGGTGCTGTGCGAAAGTCTTATGCTGATCTTGAGCTGCGTTATGCAACAGCGGAGTCCTGCAGAGCTACGCTCGAACAGGAGCTTGAGCAGCGGAACGAAAAGTCTGACCACCTCGCAGCTGAAGTGCAGGAGTTGATGACCAAACTTTCAACATCCGAGACCTGTGTTCAACGGGCGACTTGCTTGTTCGAAGAGTCACGACAAGATCTGACAGTTGCACAGGAGGCATGGGACTTGGAGCGGCAGGGGCTCATGGAGCGTCTTGCTGAGGCTGGTCGAGTACACAGCGACCTCACTAACCAACTCAAGAAAGCAGAAGAAAATATTTGCAGGCTGCAAAGTCGTCTTGCTGATGCTGCAGAGCGTGATGATAAGAACGCCCGGGAGCTCATTGCCCTCCAGGAAAGATTCGACGTTTCTGACCAGGATAGAAAGACACTGACGCTGGATAACGGCCAGTTGCAGGAAGACTGCCGTCGGCTTCAAGCTTCTTTAGCTCAGCAGGAAGAGAAGACGAAAAACTTGACTGGCCAGTGTATGGACTATGTAGCGAGATGCGAACAGTCTGCTGAGGAGATTGCAGGCTTGAACGAAAAGTTAGCATGTGGTCAACCCGAGTTGGAGCAAGCACTGTCCGGAATCAACAGTGCCATGCACCTATTGGAGAGTGAGCGGCAGCAAGTGGCCATGCTGATGCAGGATAACGCAGAACAGTCAGCTACGATCAGCCAGTTGCAAGACAACACCTGCAAGCTGGAGGAAGTTCTACAGGAGAAAGAGCAAGCTCACGACAAAGCCATTTCTTCAATAGAAGAGGCGGCCTCGGCAAAGGAGTCTGAACTTCAACAACACGTTGAGCGACTGTCATTGGACTTGGCTGAGATGCAGACGACTAGTAGATCTGCATCAGACGAGCTCTCGACCTCTCAAGAGTTAGTAGCTGAGCTGCGTCAATCCTTGACTGTTGTCGAGCAAGGGAAGAATGACTGTCAAGATCAGATCTGCTCTCTCGTGGCTGATGTGTCACAAAAGAACGAGGAACTTGAGCAGCTCGCTACCCAACATACAGCCCTCACTCAGCAAATGGGTTCAGCCCATGACAGAATTGGTCATCAAGAGCAAGACATTGCAATGTACACAGGCCAATTGCAAGAGTCTCAGAAGGAGTGTAAACGTCTCGAAGAAAAGCTGGAGTGCATGTTGCAATCGGAATCCGCAGCGCAACAACAGTCGGACAAACTCCGCGAGGAGATGAGCACTATCTCAAATACACTGGCTGCAGCAGAGGCATCACGCCAAGAGCTCGCAGAAGTCTTCGAGCAGTCTCTTGCAGACAAGCAGCAACTAAGCGAAGAGCTAGCACAGGCAAGAGATACGTTGAACACTACACACGCTGGTATGACTGCTGACCTGTCATCATCCCAGGACTTCATCAAGCGTCTTCAAAGCCAGTTGCAGGAATCTGTGTCTGACATGCAAGTTGCAGAAGATGCCTGGCAGCTTGAGAGGCAGGGCATGGCTGATCGCCTTGCAGAGGTACAGAAGGTGCGCACGGATTTGCTGGAGCAGCACTCAGCAATGACAGAAACCATTGTGGCCCTGAAAGATGATGTAGCCAATGTCAAATCAAATGCAGAGCAGAGTCGGTCCGAGGCAGTGTGCCTTGGTGAGCAGCTAGCAGCAGCCAAGCAAGAGCTGGAAGCGCTTCAAGAAGACCGGGAAAAGTATAGTGACCAGCGTAGTCGAATGGAGTCAACGCTTGCACAGGAACAAGAACTTACAAGTCTAGCCCAGGAGCAGTGTTCAATGCTGTCAAAGAAATGTGAGGAGTATGCTGAAGAAGTGGCTGCTCTGAAGGAGAAACTGGAATGTGGCCAGCCTGAGCTACAGCAAGCACTGTCTGGAATCAACAGTGCTATGGTATTGTTGGAAAGTGAAAGAGAGCGTGTGACGATTCTGGAGCAAGAGGACAGTGATCGATCAGCTCAAATCAGCCAGTTGAGAGATGACATATCAGTATTGGAGAAAACGCTAGCAGAACAACGGCAAGTTCACGATGGTGCTCTCTCTTCTATCCAAGAGACAGCTTCCGCCAAGGAATCTGAGCTGCATCAACAAGTCGGAACGTTGTCATCAGAGTTGAGTGAGATGCAGAAGTCTGTTACATCTGTTTCAGAAAAGCTCTCAACGTCTGAGGGATTTATGGCCGAGCTTCGTCAGTCCTTGACTGTTGTCGAGCGTGAGAAAGAGGACTGTCAAAATCAGATCTACTCACTTGTGGCTGATGTGTCACAAAAGAACGAGGAAGTTGAGCAGCTCACTGCCAAGCAAACTGCCCTCACCCACCAATTGGATTCAGCCCATGACAGAATTGGTCATCAAGAGCACGACATTGCAATGTACACAGGTCAATTGCAAGAGTCTCAGCAGGAGTGTAAACGTCTCAAAGAAAAGCTGGAGTGCATGTTGCAATCGGAATCCGCAGCGCAACAACAATCGGACAAACTCCGCGAGGAGATGAGCACTATCTCAAATACACTGGCTGCAGCAGAGGCATCACGCCAAGAGCTCGCAGAAGTCTTCGAGCAGTCTCTTGCAGACAAGCAGCAACTAAGCGAAGAGCTAGCACAGGCAAGAGATACGTTGAACACTACACAAGCTGGTATGACTGCTGACCTGTCATCATCCCAGGACTTCATCAAGCGTCTTCAAAGTCAGCTGCAGGAATCTGTGTCTGACATGCAAGTTGCAGAAGATGCCTGGCAGCTTGAGAGGCAGGGCATGGCTGATCGCCTTGCAGAGGTACAGAAGGTGCGCACGGATTTGCTGGAGCAGCACTCAGCAATGACAGAAACCATTGTGGCCCTGAAAGATGATGTAGCCAATGTCAAATCAAATGCAGAGCAGAGTCGATCCGAGGCAGTGTGCCTTGGTGAGCAGCTAGCAGCAGCCAAGCAAGAGCTGGAAGTGCTTCAAGAAGACCGGGAAAAGTATAATGATGAGCGCAGTCGAATGGAGTCAACGCTTGCACAGGAACAAGAACTTATGAGTCAAGCCCAGGAGCAGTGTTCAATGCTGTCAAAGAAATGTGAGGAGTATGCTGAAGAAGTGGCTGCTCTGAAGGAGAAACTGGAATGTGGCCAGCCTGAGCTACAGCAAGCACTGTCCGGAATCGACAGTGCCATGGTATTGTTGGAAAGTGAAAGGGAGCGTGTGACGACTCTGGAGCAAGAGAACAGTGATCGATCAGCTCAAATCAGCCAGTTGAGAGATGACATATCAGTATTGGAGAAAACGCTAGCAGAACAACGGCAAGTTCACGATGGTGCTCTCTCTTCTATCCAAGAGACAGCTTCCGCCAAGGAATCTGAGCTGCACAAACAAGTCAGAACATTGTCATCAGAGTTGAGTGAGATGCAAAAGACTGCCGTGTCTTTGACAGACAAGCTCTCGACATCTGAAGACTTGGTAGTTGAGCTTCGGCAGTCATTGAGCAGTGCCGAGCAACAGAAGAATGACTGCCAGGACCAGATCTGTTCTCTAACTGCTGATTTGTCACAAAAGAATGAAGACCTTCGCCAATTGGAAGCTGAACATAGCTCATTAGCAACACAGCTTTCAGCAGCGCATGAGAAAGAAATGCTGCTCAGGTCGGAATCTGACCTTGCTAGTGAGAAGAACCTAGAAGAGATACGTGCTGAGAAAGATTCAGCCCTGGAGTCACTGTCCGCATCTAATCAATGCCGTGGGGAGTTGGAAACGCAGCTGAGCACGGCACGGGAGGAGTGTGCCTATGCTTCCGAGCAACTTTCCCTGATGAGGCAAGCGAAGGAGGATACACAATGCCAAATCGATGAGCTGAGAAACAAGCTGCTGTCGGCTGAAGAGAGTGCAGCAGACAACGAGCGACTGTTAGAAGAGTCCGTGATAGCGATGAAGACTGCCATGGGCCTGTGGCAATCTGAGAGGGCCAGTCTTACAGAGCGCACTACAGCTGCAGAGAGTAGCTGTGATGAATTGTCAGCGCAGAATGCTGACAACATGTCAGTGGTGGCCGACCTGAAGACGCGGCTCGCTAAAGCCGAGTCACAGTGTACGCATGCTGCTGAAGAAGTGCAACAACTTGCCGAAGAATCAGATCGTGCCAAGAACCAGCTCAGCACAATGTGCCGTGAGAGAGAAGAACTGGAGGAGTCACTGCGGACATTGCAACTCTCTGCTGCTGAGCACGATGAGAACTGCACAAGTGCCACACTTCGCTATGACACCCTCAATCAGCAATGCGACGCCTACACTGCACGGATATCCGAGCTCAATGCCACTGTTAAGGAGCTTGAGATCTCGTTGGAATCATCCAAAGCTGAGGCACAGCAAGTACTCGCGGAACAAACTGACCGTTACACCTCACTGGCCGAAGCACAATCAGCCATTGAGTCAGAGAAAGAAGATTTTATCGCTCAAGTTGCTGCTCTGCAGGAATCTCTGCAAGAACAAGTTGCTGCGACCGCTGCTGCGAAAGAGGAGTACAAGGAGAAAAGGACCTCGTCGTGTCTTCACTGTGATCGCTTCAAGGTGGAGCAGAAGTCACTCAACAGTGAAGTAGAGCACTTAGAGAAACAAGTTGACAAGGTATGTTGAGATGTGTATTCTGCTACTGCTTTCTGCTATTCTGCTACTGCTGTTGTCCTGCTGCTGCTGTCCTGCTTATGGATAGTCCATTTAGAATTTATGGATGGTGTGGCCCTTCACAGTGATGGTGTGGCAAAATGTGCTCTCCAGTTGCACTTACTTCATTTCAAACTTACTTATCAAAGGAAGTTGAGGGTGCAGCACGGTAGGGAATACGTGCAGTGTAGGACAGTGTGGACACGGTTCTCTTGTAATTGGATAAGTGGGATTCCTTGATCTTATTGGAGCTTAGTTGTCTTGCACTGTTCTATGCGCAATTAAACTGGCCTTGGCATTGAACAAACAATTCTCCTAAACGGCCAGTTGATCCCTGTGACCAAGAGTACATAACCCCCCAGAGTGTGCAACTCCACTATGGGTGCTGTCCCGACAGAATTTCAAGTTGACGTCATTTTGATGATGCAATGCGCACTGTACACGGATTATCAGACGAATCCGGAACCTGTGGTTGACCGAAGCCGATCGATCCTGTACAAATTATTGCAAAGAAAAACGTGTGATGCGTTGACACCCGTACACATGTTGTAAATCACTGCTGCAAGGAGCATTGCGTCATACATAATGACGTCAACTTGAAATTCTGTCGGGACAACAGGGTATGTGGGAGTTGCACACTCTGGGGGGTTATGTACTCTTGCTGTGACCTGATGAGTAGTGTTTGGCTAACCTGCTCATGATCTAACAAGAGATGATAGTGGCATTCTTGTAACATTCTCGCAAATACTGCAACGTTATGTAATTCTTCACTGGATTTCCTTCATTTTGTTCTTTTTTTTGTCTGTGTGAATTTTCCTGTTCTCGGCAGTTGTCCACGGACTTGTTCGAGGTACATGAAAGGTGTAGCCTCCTGTCATCAGAGAGGGATGCTGCATTGAAGAAGCTGGACTCAGTATCTGCCATGCCCATACCAACTGTGCACCAGGCAGACAGCGGAGCCCAGCCTGACACTGCACAGTCGCAGGCTGCCATGAGAGAGGAAGTGCAGCGACTCCAGGCGGCTCTGCAGGAAAGAGACGAGCAAATCGATTTGGAGCGACGGCAAGTGGTGGCAGCGGCCGAAGCATTCATTGCTGAGCGAGAAGCTGAATTTGCTGCTGCCACGCAGCAGGCCAAGCACAGCTCTACAGACTCGGCTTCTGCTGTTGCCCGTGCTGAGGCAGCAGAGATTGAGATTGCGCAGCTTCGTCATGACCTTCTCCAGGAGCGCCAGGCCAAGGCAACACTACTGGCTACGGCGGAGGAACAGCAGCAGGCAGGTTTGCAGACAGGTTTGAAGACAACATCGTCTGGAAGTGATCCTTCCCTGGACGTTGTAACGAAACTGGATAAGCTGCAATCACGCTGTGCGCATCTTGAACAGGAGCTGGAGAGTGGACGGCTGGAGTTGAAGACCGCTCAGGCTGATGCAACAGAAAAGGTTCAGACAAGCAAGTCGCGTGTGGCGTTGCTTGAGAAGGAGATGACCGGCCTCAGCTCATCCTTGAAAGACGTTCAATGTGAGAATGATCGAATGGTGGAAGTGGTGAAGTCGCTTCGGGCCGAAGTTTCCTCACTGGAAGGAATGCGCGCCGAAGCTAGCCGGGCCAGCGAGGCACTTTCAGAAGTTGAACTCAACCTTCGTAAACAGGTTGATGAAAACAAAGAACTGCACAATGACATTGGCATGCTGCAGCAACGCTGTGCAGAGCTGAAGGACACTGCTGTAGCACGCCGCCGCTCCGTGTTACGGGAACGTGACAACCTAGTTGCCGCACTACGAGACCGTGAGTCACATGACGCGTCGCTGGTCTCTGAGCTGAAAGACAAATGTGAGCAGCTGCAAAAAGAGAACAAGGAACTGGTTGTTGCAGGTAGCAAGCCTGTCAGCGTGAAACTTGCCACCACCCCAGACAGGCAGGGGAGTGTTGGCAAAGTGAAGCTCTGCGTTGCTGCTGATGCTAGTGTTGAATCATTGCCCGAGGAAAGATCCGAAGCCCTTGACATGCCCCCACCACCACCACCGGCAGCTGCATCCACCTCGCCAGCAGCTAGCAGCACTGCATCAGTACCAGCCTCGACAAATACACCAGCGGCTGCTTTGTCGCATGAGAAGTCTCCAAAGTCTCCCGCAGAGAAAGGATCATCACTGACGTGCGCCGAGCTGATGGCTCAGTCTCAGTCTGTTGTTCGTCAGGGCCTGCCGCACACCGTGTCACGCGGATTGCTCGATATTCCGACTGGCTGCGTGACCTCGCCCATGATAGTGCGCCGCACGACGCGCTCTGCTGCACTCCTGGGCAAATCCAATCTCTTGGGACTTGCTGGCACGCTAGCGACCTCCACTGCCTTACCTGCAGCTCCGGTAAGGAAACTCATTGACTGCTGGTACATCTAGGTGTAACCACTGCATGGCTATCAGTACTCTAAGTTACTACTAGTACTAGTAGTTTGGATTCTTCTGTTTTCCTATGGCTCTAGTATGTGATATTCATCAGTTGAGGATGTTGGAAAGGGGAAAAGGTTTGAAGAAACAATTGACTGTCACCGCTAGGACTCTAGTTTGTGATACCAGCATGTCCTGCTCTCCGCGTGTTGACGTTCGCTTCACCACTGGAAGTCACCTTCCCATGGAATGAGGTAGCACCCCTGTGTCAGGGACATGTTGGGAGTCAAACTGTGTGTGTGGTGTGCTTGTGTGTGTGTGTGTGTGTGTGTGTGTGTGTGTGTGTGTGTGTGTGTGTGTGTGTGTGTGTTGATTTGCTCGGCTGTTGCAGCAGAGTGCTTGTCTGAACAAAGTGGAAGCAGCGTCTGCAGGGTCCAGACCGTCCAGTACAGAACCAGTCAAACTGCTGTCCCCACGCCGGCGTCCCAGGCCTGTCAAGCGCAAGAATGATGAAAACTCTGGAGGTGAGTTTGCTTGTTGGCGTGTGTGTAACTGTCTTCAGCATTGTGTACCCTCACACAGTCTGTGTGTGTGTGGATGGAATAAGCCACTTCAACCAGCTGTGTGGTGGAGACCAGACTAAATTTAGTGGCTGTCAATTCATCAGCCTTGCAAGCTGTTGAATGGTGTGATCCCAACACAAGTTGCTGTGTCTAACGTGACTTGTTCGCTATCATCGCTTCAGCGATGGACAGGTGTGTGTGTGTGTGGGAGGGGGGGGGGGGGGGGGGGGGGGGGGGTATGGCTAATGACGTGCAAGCACGGTACAGTGTCTTGCCATCCGTCCTTCGGCGTACTGCTTCTTACCTCCGTAGGTATGGGTAAACTGGATACGGTATGTCTACTTTTCCCTTCTGACCTTCTCGACCTGCTTGTCCTATTCTGCAACTCATTCCACTTGTCCAGGTGTGATGAAGAAAGGTACAAGCACGGTTGAGCAACGCTCATCCAAGCCGCAGAACCCTCCTGTCGGCTCTTCTAGCGTTAGCAGCTCTGTCCTGTCTGAAAGGAACGTGCCCTCGTCTCGTGTTGCCGCTTCATCGGTTCCTGCAGCGACAGATTGCACTAAGTCCAGCCTGACTGCGGCCATGAAGTCCACTGCAGTCCTGCAATCTAATGTGCCTGTTGCTGCTGCTGCTGCTGTGAAACCCAGCAGTGCATCTGCTCCTGCTGTAGAACCTGTAGCAGCGGCAGCAGCCGTCTCGACAACTGAAGCAACAGCGGCCAATTCCGGTGCTAAGCCGGTCTCCAGTTTAGCCCCGCCGGCTAGACGCTCCACACGGCGACGGGCTCCTGCGGCCCCTGCTCAACCCGAGCCTGAGCAGTGCAAAACACAATAAGTACCATTTTAACATGTAGTTGCACTACTAGTATATCGTACACATGTACACCGGATTTTGTTTGTACTGGAACGGTACATGAACTGCAGTGCGCTTAGTCAGTGCAACCTATCTGACTTGCCATTTCGCCAACTTTACTTCTTTCGCTAATTATTATTTGCCTGCCACGCAAGACAAGAACACTGTGCGTGCACATTGCTACCAATACGTCCAAGCTGATCGTTTTCATTTGCAGCATGAATGCCCAGTACATCCTGATACTCTAACCCAATGCATGCTAGTATTCTTACATGAAACACATGGAAACCAATCATTCTAGACACATGGAAAGTGCAGATTGTCATGCACGCGCCCATAGCAAAACTGAGCACATTCGCTACGTACGAGAGCATCCGGATTGTTTTCCCCATGGCAAAGAATCCCTCATCATTTTGGCACAAAGTCTGATGGAATTGCCCTGTTTTTGTGCTTTGCTTACTTTTTTTCATGATTATATTGAGTACAATTATTTAGTTTGTGTGACCGCTGTTCCACTGTTCTTTGTATGCCATTGTCGCCCTTTAAAATTCCCTGTCACACTTGCTGATATTGTCTTTTTCTTATCCTTTTCTTTTTTGTTTTTGTTTCTTTATATACAGTTCTTCACCATGACCGTTGATATGTCAATAACAATGTTGAATTGCTAGACCAGTTGTCTACAGCTGGTCTGACTGCTCTTGATATCACTGCGTTTGCCTTCAACTGTCGCCCACATTGCTAACCTAACCATCATCAATTTGCTGACCGGCCGGCCATCTTTATTATTTGTGTTCATCTGTTGCAATCTCGTTTTATGAATCGACTGTTTGCTAACTTTGCCATAGGATATGTGCGCACACAACATCGTACACGTAGGCCTTGTGTTGCTCTTGTTTTCTATTTTTGTTTTACTTTGCCCTGTATGGATCTGCATGAGCTTTGAATATTGGCTCAGTGTACACAGTACTACTCAACTGGTGTTGTGAAACTTGGGCCCTTCCCCACAGTGAAATACAGGTACCAAATCATGTACAAGCTATATTGCTAATGACGCGCACAAGTCAAGTGCTTGACTGTTTGACTGATCATAAGGAGTATCATTGTTGCAGACATCACCGCACAAAGTCACATTGTGTAGACGTTTATACTGAACCTAGTGTGTTGTCCACTTCCATTGCTGCATTTTGAATCCAAAGCCATGAAATACATGTACGAGCAAGAGTTGACAGATCATGATCCTACAGCAGGTTATGTCATTGGTGTAGAGGTTATGTCATTGGTGTAGAGTGCAATCAGATTGTAACTAATTACAGTCATGTACTTGCTGGCAGAATGCGGGATACATGTACATGCACCTCATATTGATACAAAGCAATAGCAAGAGTACTCTGCTCTTGGCGATATGCATGGCTGGGCCGAGGTTTCGGATCTGCTTGTGCTGCATGCCACGCCACAATCCCAGGTCTACCTGTACTTCCCGGCCACGTTCACAGATCTGCCTTTACTGCCATGCCAGGCCACGCTCCCAGTCTGGCAGATCTGCCATACCACAGCCCATACACCGTGTACACAGTCAACAACACTACACACAGAACTCCGACACAGTCACGCTGGATTTCGACAAAGGATGAGTGTCATAGCTTGTTTCAGTGGTACACATAATAGCAAGAGTACATGAAAACCAGAGTGTACAGCTTGGGGCTTTTTCTGCTATGGGTGTCTGCAAGAGTCCATAACCCCCCTTTATGGACTCTTGGTGTCTGTCACGGTGGAATTCCGTGATTACATCATATTTGGTGCAGATCTGAGGCGGGAAATGGCGTAGTGCGTACAACTGAGCTGCAGTTGTGCAGAAAGAGACCTGCTTGAATCCTGCTTGTACGCACGACATCACCAAAATGATGTAATCACGGAATTCCGCCGTGACAGCAACCCATCCGAGCTGCACACTCTGGTTTTCATGTACTCTTGATAATAGCAAGAGTCTGAATGCTTCGCGGAACTGACAATCGTAGAAGTAGCATCACAGCTGCAGTGTAGTAAGTTAGTGACTTGTAGCTACTGGAGCACTGGAGCTTGATCTGACCAACTAAAAAGAAGAAGAAATTAAAATTATCACAACGTGGATCCAAACTAGAGGAGTATAACAATCAATAAGAGGTCTACAAATTCAGCTGACGAAGAGCCGGGAAACAAACTGAGCCATCCGTGCATCTGTAGCACGCACTCACGCACACACACACACACTTAAGCCTGACTAGGTGCAGTGATGGAACACTGCCCAGGGCAGGTACTGCAAGTCAGGTCTCCCTGTGACTGGGACCATGGCCAGCTACTCAGAAGTCGATCTTCTTGCGCTGCAGGACCTGCTCGTGGATGGACTGGTAGTCCGGCAGGGCCCGCATCCTCTCAAACCATGCCTTCACCTTGGGGTGCTTGTCCAGGGTGAACGTCGCGTCATCGATCATGTGAATCTGCGCAACTTCGGGTGCCGCCAATAGATCAGCAACGGTAAGGTGTTCGGTGGCAATGTACGCCGTGTTGCGAGCCAAGAAGTACTGCTCCAGGACATCGAGTGCTTTGTGGAAGTCGACGCGGCGATCCGCTATCAGAGCGTCGTCACGCTGCGAAGCAAATACCTGCAACAAAACACAACATCCGTACACAACATGAGAAACCAACGAGCAACTACATGTACTCGTAAAGCTATGAATAAAACAATCGATGCCGACGTAATTCCATGAGGAGCAAATGAAAATAGATATGTAAAGAAGATTCAGACAGATTCAACTACCAGTCATATCTATACTAGCCCCTAGCGTAAAGCAACTATTTACGATGTGGATGCCTGTGACGTAGAGTGACACACATATTTATCACTGTCAGTCATCCCCGCTGTGATGCAACAATACATGTACTTGTACACACTACGGACGTTTAGCATCAAGAAATTCGCTTTCAAGGTCCTGCACACTTTTTCGGTTCGTGACCAGGAACGCAAACTTTCACATTTTCGTCCTGAAAAGCAGTCAGAACGGATCCGCCTTCGCACGGTCATAATAATTATATTATACTGTAAGACCAGATGTTTTAATGAACATTTAATTCTCATAAAAAGGACACACTTCAGGCTCATTACGAACATCTTGAAAGTTTTTGAAGTTCCTTTTCCCTTGCCTGTATTTCACCTGATGAGAAGGCTTGAAAGTATACTTGTGAAAACAAAAACTTTCAAGATGTTCGTAATGAGCCTGAAGTGTGTCCTTTTTATGAGTATCATCGCATTTTTGTCTCAGAGGAAAGTGTGAACATTTAATTCTAACGGTTTAACGAATTTAAAATATTTGCTAACATTTGAAGTCATTATGTGCAGAACGATATGTACACGTACTGTCATTTTCCGGTTTTGAGCCAGAATTTGGTAGAATTTCACCTCGCTCACCCACGAAAATCCGGAGAACGCTAACTTTAATTGACGTTAAAATTACTCGTCTCACAGTAGTACCATGAGTACTGTCTGTACACATGCATGACCTGTCAACATCAATCATGGTGCCGCAGGTTTCCAGTCTGTACACATGCATGACCTGTCAACATCATGGTGCTGCAGGTTTCCAGTCTGTACACCACACATTCTAACATGCACTGTGGCTGTGGCCATAGATACAAAGCAAAGAGAAGTCAATAGCAGGTGCAACTCACCGACGGGAATACCCAGCCGACGCCGGCCGCCTGCAGACCAGCAGCACCACAGTGCCACGCAATGTACTCTGCCACGCGGCCGGCCACCTCCAAGTCCTCTGGCCACCAGTCAGTGCCGGCGCCATACTTGCGCGATAGAAACGTGAGAATGGCGCCACTGCAACGGTACACGTACAGTAGAGATGGGAACACAGGACAACAAGAAGAAGAAGAAGACGGGGATGTTTGAACATGACAATGAAACAAGAAATGTATGATGCCCATTTAGTACAAGTACACCGGGCATACGTCATGCAACGTGCAAAAATCATTTCCCAGATGACTCAATACTGCACTGGTAGTGTACATACCTCTCCGACAGAGTGAAAGAACCACATCTCAATGCTGGAACACGCTGGAAGTAGTTGATAGCTTTGTATTCAGCCGTCTTGTGGTCGCCTGGTGGATTGGAAATCAGCACACGGAAACAAGGCGACACACGCATAGATCCATCAAACACACGCACACACACACACACACACACACACACACACACACACACACACACACACACACACACACACACACACACACACACACACACACACACACACACACATGTGCACATGAACAAATACATGCAAGTGCTTACCTCAGAACGCATTATGTCTAGCTAGCATTCAAATTTCAAACACTATACTACTAGTACTGGTACTTTACGGGTTGTCAGAGTGCAAGCATCAGATTTGCTTGGTTCTCGTTGCCCACAATTCTCACTTACTTTTGACCAAACAAAGTTTTGCAGAAAAAGCGAGAGCAATAACACATCACAATAACACTAACACATAGCAAACGATGTGAATTTACTGCCACAGTACGAGTACAGTAACATTTTCTTTTTGTACACATAGATCAGGATTGCGGAGGCGAATGTATGTGGCTTCTAACCTTTGAAGCTGTCTGAAATTGGAAAAAATGTTACTGTTTTCACACTGAAGAATTGTGTGTTGCTCCTTACATGGGAGCTCGCACATTGTTCCAGTAAATTCACACCTGTTGCAATGTGTTATTACACTCAAACGCCTCTTATCTGGACGCCTCAGATATGGGCACGTCTCTCTACCGGGCACCTTCAGCTTGAGTTCCTATAGCACAAATGCGTCGAATTTGGGGTTTTTGAACTTTTTTCCGTATGTGGAAGTGCTTATGTTTCACTGCCAACCTATGTAATCCCCACATTTTTATCAATGGGTTCCTTTTGTATCCTCAACATGTGCAATACGTGCCAAATAAACTTCTTCAAAAAATGATATCATACATGGTAGATGAGTTATTCTGAGATACGGGCAAATCTGAGATACGGGCAGTGCCCGGTCCCAAGGTGCCCGGATAAGAGACGTCCGAGTGTATACTTATTGCTCTCGTTTTTTCTGCAAGTACATTGTATATGTCATGCCGTTGCGCTGATATTTGCTACCTTTACGATAAAGTTGTCAGTTGTCACCTTATGTTTGAACAAGGTTTTACTAATTTTTAGGAAAGACACTTATAAGAACAGTAGCGTGTTAGTTACCCGACACCCTAGGGACTGCGCCCTGTTGGTAAAAGTGAATATTCTGGATAACTGAAGCTAAATTATCACCAATCTATCGACACATCTCAAAGATTATTATACATGGTTGCACATGTATCTTTATTTAGGCATTATTTTCGTATCAGACACTCGTGTTTATTAATTTAGCACATCAATACGAGCCCACTCTATGACAAGAAGGCAATGTTCAGGGTATTAAAATGGTTTGCATGGAACACAGTGGAAAATTTGAGCTGCCAGCACGCTGTTCAGTATTGCTACATTACTTGTACAAGTACATGTAGCAATGTCTACTTGACTTCGTCCTGAGAGAAATTAGTGGGTGTTACTAGCATTCCGAACTACATGTATGCCATGTAGTCACTTTTACAAGTCTTTCATGGCAGTATCCTACTTCCTGCACTGCCACAGACTGCAGTACGTATTACAATGTAGTACATGACCGTATTGTATTCTTATGCAGTGGCCGAGTTGATAGCCAAGTGGCTGGTTATGAGGAAGGAGACCGAGCAGCGCCTGAGGCCAATGAGGACCTCTCATAGTGAATGCTGTAGGCATGCTCACCTTGACCCAGTTGAATGGGCTTGAATTCATGTGGTACGTTTTGGAGCTTGCAGAACCACCAAACAGCACGAGCTGGCTGCGAGAACGGGCTGACAAAGATTTCCACGACTTCGGAGTTCGACATGATGACAGCAGATAATCTTTGTACCGGTACGTATTCAAAGTCTCTGGAACGAAGGACTTCTACAAATGTACGTGTGTGTTACGAATTATCATCATTAGCAGCCGCAAAATTATGCAACTCTCATTCATTTCACACTTTTTTTTTTAAATTTTCGCGCGTTGTACAGTTGTACAGTAGGGCCACTCCAATTTCAAAAGCCGGGCCAGGTAAGCTTAGTGAACAGAAATTTTAGGTACAGGGAAGCAGCTCCCTATTGGATTATTATAATGTGTGTTAGTAGTAGGCCCAGACAGATCCTGCCGCGCCGGCAATTCTTTCGGCAAAATATCGAAGAATTTAAGAAGCGGAAATTGCCAGCAAAATCGGAGCAAAATATCGAGATTTGGGGTAAAATCGATGCCTGATACTTGTCCTTGTTTCTTACCCGTTTAGCACGATACATTGCCCAGGACGAGATAATATCATCGAAAATGTCACTGGGATTCACCGTGGATCAACATGATTTTGAAGAACCCAAGGACACATGTGTCACCGGGAAACCCGTGTTGAGAAACCGACTGTGCGATTTTTATGAAACGTTGTACGGGAAGTGGAAAAAATTCACGTTTTTCCGGAGCAAAATATCGGGTTTTCTAGTGCCAAGCTCGGCAGAATATCGAAGATTTCGCAGCAACATTATGCGGCAACATATCGAGGAGAGCGGAGCAGAATCTGTCTGGACCTAGTTAGTAGTAGTATTATTCGGTTTATTGAAATTTTAGGTATGAAACAGATGCTTTCACGGTTTGTTTGCACACGTGCCGCGGCCTAGCCCATGATGACCCCATTTTTGGTTTTGTATGCATTTCCTGTAGAAACTATGCGGGCATAGTTTCTACAGGAAATGCATACAAACCAAAAATCAAAAGGTATTTTATAACGCTGTGTTTACATGAGGCGTTTCAACCCGCCTGTTGTGTATCGTGTCGGAGAAAGGTCTTCTGGGGTGTCGTCGAGATCTCGTTGCGACCGTGACTCCTGCTTGTCTCCCTGGATAGGTGCTGCTTGCTTTGCTTTTTGCGTAGTGTTTGATTATTGTTTACTATTGCGTATTGTTAGTGTTCGTTTTGATTTGGTACAATACTTGTTACGAGATACGACACATTGTGTAGTGTGTGTTTGCAGCACGAAGAAGACTGCTCACCAGAACGGTTAGCTCAGGAGCTTGGGCTTACCTTGTGCAATCACAGTTCATCAGCTTGGACATTGCGCTTGGTCCCATGCGAATAACCGACTAGAATAGTAATTATTTCTTCGTTGCATTTTTGAATTGTGTTCTTGCTAGCTCGTTGATTTATTTAGTTGATGTGTTGATTTGTGTTTGATTACTTATTTATTTGATGCACGATTTATGTGCGCTGATTGCGTGATGGCATGCAATTATGATCGTGCTTGCGTCAGCTAGCTAGATGCCTGCGCCGCGCACTGATGTTGAATGAGTTAGCATGCGCCCCGCGCTGTTCATGCATATATGGTACATGGTGTGTAATGTTTGCCGCATACGCGTATAGGTGCCGCGCCTCGTACTGCTCATGTGCCTCGCGCCGTACTATTGCTGTCGCTTTGCCAAATTTAGCTTCCGCTTTCCGAGCGCTGTACGCTCTTCTGTACGCTCATGCCAAAGTTGGACGCACGTTGTGGCTGGCCAGCGCTTTACCCCTCATGCGTTGTTCTTTTCCTTGATGCTGTGGTTTGTTTTTCTTTAGTGTTCTAGAGTTCTCTTTCCGATGTAGTTCGTATTTTTCCAGTCTCTTCTTCTCAATGTATTCTACTGTTCATTCATTATAGTCCGTAAAGAATTACGTGACCTTTGTCTTGTGGCGTCTGTGCGATCCTGAAACTTTTGAGGTGTTAGTAGTGAACACAACATTTTGGCGACCACGCCAGGATAGAGACGAGTGAACATGGATGAGGTAGAAGCGAAGCTGATCGCAAATGGTCAAGCTTATGGCTACACTGGAGAGGCATTGCGTACTTACGTAGAGGAGCGTATCGAGAAGCACGAGGAGAAAGTGCGTGCAGACAGAGAGCGCGACGAACGAGCAGGAAGTAGATTGGAAAGGAAAGATGACGAGCAGCTGCTTGCGAGGATTGCAGATTTGGAGTTGCAAGTCCAGCACACACGAGAGACTCAGAGTGATGAGAGCACTTTGTTGAATACGACGAATGGCAGTTTAGCGAGCAAGAGGGCTGCCATCAAGATGCCGAAGTTCGACGGTAAGCAGACTGTTGAGACCTATCTCGAACTGTTCGAGGATGTGGCAAAGCAAAATGAGTTCAGCGACGACGAGTACCTGATCCGCTTGCGCGTGGCTGTTGCTGGCAGCAAGTTGGAAGGTGCATGCTATGGCTGCAACACCTTTGCCGAAGCGAAGCGCGAGCTGCTGATGGCGCATGGGAAGACCGCCGACAAAGCGTGGCAAGCCCTGATGGCCATACAGCAGAAAAGTGAGGAGAGTTTCTACCAGTTTGTGGTACGAGTGACGCGCGAGACGGAGAAGTGGGCAAAACTCGCCAGGCCTAGCCGTACCTCTAGCCGCGGACAAATCGGTGAGCTGGACGACACTGAATTGTTCGGATGTGTCGTACGTCAAGTCCTGCTAGAAGCTGTGTCGGCAGAAACTAAGGCCTTCTTGATCGAGAAGAGATGTTACACGAAGGACTTGAAGGCGTTTGCGGAGGATGGTATGGCTTACCAAACAGCCCACGGACGTAGCAAGCTGAAGCCTGCCAAGTCTAGCACCAGCGACAAACGTATACCGTTTGCGTCGGCAGAGTGTTTGACGGTCAGCGTTGATGAGGCTAACAAGAAATTGTCAGCTATGGCGTCTGAGCACCGAAACGCGTACGTCAAGGCAGAGGGACTGTGTTTCAACTGCCTGAGACCAGGACATCGAGTGATGAATTGTAAGAACAAGGGTCGTTGCAAGCACTGCAACAAGCGACACCACAGTCTACTGCACAGAGAGGACAAACAGGTAACATCCGAACCGATAGCCGAATCGAAAGTCGGTACGTATGAATGTAGTGCAAACAGCGTGCACTTGATGACCGGCGTGGCTGAGGTACAAGGACCTAGCCGAAAGGCCAGTGTACGCATATTCATCGACCCAGGTGCGCAGGCATCGTTCATCACCGCGCCACTGGTGAACTCGCTGCAACCGGCACACCTTGGATCGCAAACTGTCAGGCTGAAGGCGTTTGACGTGGAGCCGAAGTTTGAAAAGATGGACAGGTACCGTGTCACCATCAAGGGTGCAACGAAGTCCATTTCCGTCAATGCCTGGCAAAAGAAGTCGCTAGGTCTCCGATTCGATCCGCTAGCAGACAGCACAATTGCACGTTGGCAGTCACAGGGATTGCAGCTGTCTGATGACTCGACAAAGGCCGGATCAAGCGAAGTGCACATGCTGATTGGAGCTGACTACTGCAATGAGTTCCTTCTCCGCAAGGAGCAAATCAATGGAGAGACGGCCTGGCACACTGAAATAGGCTGGGTGCTGTCAGGACCGGCTAATAGTGAAACCAAGTCAGCGACCGTCAGTGTGAGTTGTATTGAACTTGACCGACTGTGGAAGATGGAAGAGGTGCCGGAAATAGCTGATACGTTACCGGACTTCCCGATAGAGCGGCAAGGCCCTCATTACCAAGTGGGATTGCTATGGCGATCTGAGAAGCGTCCGCCAGCCAACCTAAACCAAGCGATGGCAGCGGCACAATCACTGCTGAAGCAGCTACAGAGACGAGGTCAACGTCCAGCGTATGATGACGTCCTCATCACTGAGTACTTGAAGCTGGATGCCATTGAAAAGGAACCGCATCCGGAGGAAGCCGGCTACTACATGCCGCATCATGCCGTATTCCGTAGCGACGCCTCAACGACGAAGACACGGGTCGTCTTCAATGCATCCGCCGCCTGCACCGGAGCACCATCCCTAAACGACATGGTCGATCCCGGGCCATCACTCCTACCGGATCTCACTGGTATCCTCCTCAGGTTCCGTGAGTATGAATGTGCTGTACAAGCCGATATTCGCAAGGCTTTTTTTATGATCGGAATGCGTGAAGAAGATAGGCCATATCTGCGTTTTGTTTGGCCTGAGATAGGTAGCGAAGAAATGTGTATCTGGCGTTTAAAGAAGCTGCCTTTTGGAGTGAATTGTTCTCCTTTCATACTTAGTGCTGTGCTGCGCTTTCATCTCGATAGTGCATTCGAGTCTGCTTCTGCTGCTGAGCGTGATATCATAGAGCTGCTGCTGCGTAGTTTTTATGTTGATGATTGCGTTTCTAGCTTGCCATGCTGTGCGGATGCTGAAAAGCTGCAGGAGTATAGCGTTAATGTTTTGCAGGGAGCAGGCATGGAGTTGCGGAAGTGGCGAGGGAACACGATGACCTCAGACCCCGAGGCTGGTTCCAAGGCACTGGGTATTGTGTGGAACACCGAGTCAGATTGTATTTCGGTGGCTGCGCTCGGTGATGTTGAGTGTCCCAAGGAAGTGTCTGGTTGGTCTCGTCGTGCTTTGTTGCGTTGTGTTGCCGCTGTGTTCGATCCGCTAGGTTGGGCGTCACCCGCAGTTGTGCCAGGCAAGATGATGTTGCAAGAGAGTTGGAAGCTCGGCGGTGGTTGGGATGACCCATTCCCTATTGATTTGGCTGTCCGATGTGCTTCATGGTGGGGAGAGCTCGCAGCGCTTTCTTCCGTTAAAATCCCCAGATGGATCGGGTGTACTCCAGATGCTCCAGTCACTTTGCATGTATTCTCAGATGCATCCGAGAAGGGCTATGGCTGTTGTTTCTATGTTGTGTCCGGTTTGACGTCTGCTTTGTTGTGTGCGAAGGCGAAGGTTGCACCTGTTGTACGTCCCACTCTTGCGCGTCTGGAATTGTCGGCTGTGTGTCTTGGCGTGAAGATGTTGTCCTTTGTCGTCAATGAATTGAGAGTGCCAATTGAAAGGATTGTGGGGTGGACAGACAGCCTAACCACATGGCACTGGATCTCAAAGCCGTCGTATCACTGGAAGACGTATGTTGCTAATCGAGTTGCTGCAGTGCAAG